ACTGACAAATTCTGCGTGAGCGAGTCGCAGTACCATAACAAAGGTGTGTGTTTGTTACCAAACGCCGCACTCAGGAATATTACAACTGTATGACGGCGGCCTGTAAATTGTCTGGACAAGATAATCCAGTGATTGATATTAAAAGCAACGATCCACGCCGTCGGGTACGAAGACACACCATCAAGTCGCCTCTTGCGACTAAAAGTACTGTGCGACGATTTTTTTAAGAAGCAGCTTTGCGGAAACTGTGAGCTAACAAAATACTGCCCGATATCTGAACGACATAAATGTTTATCAAGTGGATTTATATGCTTATGTATAACGTTATACATTCAATACAAAAAAAATAGCCTGCCGTAAATGACGAAAAATGATTTGACGTCAAAAAACGACTGAGAGGTTTCACACATACAAATAAAAGGGGTTATAACTCCGCTATTCTTAGCGCTAGGACAGTGGGTTATTGTAACTCAGGTCACTTGGTGAGAATTAGCCGTGGATATAAGGATAATATTTTCGTGGTGTTTTCCAACAGAATTCAAAACTGTGAAGGGTATTTGTGTGCATGATGTATGTTGAATTATATTCGACTTCACAGTGAGATTTGAAGAGGAGGGACATGTCCCTCTGACTTTCAGGGGGATAGTTCCCACATTATTCGTATATATTCCAGATGCTTTTGAAAACACATCGGAACCTTCAGAATTATACACTATGATTTAATACATTTAACTGTACCTTGGGTATTTTTTGAAATGCAAGACATATGTTAAATCAATTATTCCTGAGGGATTCTTTGACTGAAGAACTCGAAGTCATACGCGCATGCTGATTGGTTTGTCGTATTTTCGCAAATAACATTCATCGATAGGGGGACGAGTCTTCTTGCAGGTTACGGAAAAGGGCGAGTGGTGACGAATGGTGCACCTCGCACTTTGCAGATTTTGGATATGAAATGCATGTCCCGGGGCAAGTATACCATTCATTTTGGACCAACTCGAGCACATTTATCAATCACCTAAATATTACTTGCCCATGTTGGTGGGCCTATTATGAGCAAACATAGCCCTATCAAGATAATAGTAACTTCTTTTCTATCTGTTCGCTTCGTTGAACGAAAAGCTTCAAAATCACAAGTACTGTACAAATACTTGAATGCAAAGAGTAACATACTGTATAAAAAATGCATGAAAGACATCTCGCAGTTCATAAACGGATAAGCAATTACTCCTGATGTAAGTAAATACTTAGTTGTTAATTTCAAACAGTTTCTCCCATGTCGCAGTGACAGAAGACAACTTTCGTTAGCCTTCAGTGCGGACGACGAACGTTTTTCATGAAATTGTTCTATCATCAAGTTACATTATAGGGGGAAAAGAGATTCCGTCATTGCCAAGTGGTGTTTAACTAACAATTCGGTTAGTTAGACCACGGTCGAAGACAAAGGAGCCGTTTAAAGAAATGAACGATAAACAACCACCACGAGTTGTTTATTTCTGAACTAACAATAAGCGAGACGTAGCGCCTTTCTACGCATTGGTCACTGCAGCAGAGTTCGGATATATGTATAAAGAAATACAGGTAAACAAGTTGAAACAGATACAAGATACAAGACTCGATTATTTACAGACCGCAGTCATATAGCTGGAATATTGCTGAGCGCGGCGTTAAACAACAAACAAATAAATATTACAACCACACAAAATAACAGACATAGAGATGGTTCATTGCATGACCACAGGCTGGGGGGGGGGGGGGGGGGGGGGTATCCTGTCCCACCGGTGGCACCCGTCAAAAAAAAACATGCAAAGGCGTGGCAATGTTCACCTGTTCACTAAACAAAATAATATGGAAAAGTCAAAATAGTGACTTGCATCAGACATCATTTTGGTCATTGAAGTGTCAGGTTTGGAAATGTCTTCCACGTTTTGAAAGCTTTACTAAGCTGTCGTAGAAGTCATTTTCACTTCGGTTTTAAATGAATACTCACCACTTGTTTCAATAATTAAAAGGACATCCACCAGTGCATTTGCTGAATATACGTCACTTGTGCTTCCATTCATGGCGTCTCGAAATAACGCGCTCGAAAACCTCGTGCAACGGAAGTGAGCTCTGATTGGTTAAACCCGTAATCACGAAACCACGTGACAATTCTGGCGAACACCTGCGTGAAATATACAAGACCTGAAACCTGATACCACATGTGTTTATGTAAATATTCTTCAACGACACAGTCACCTTTGAGGAGGTCGGTACGTTATACTAAGCTCTAGTGCCTTGTGGGAACTGACACCGTAATTTCTAATCTAGGAATAATTAACGATTAGATTGGGTTTTTTTACGCAGATTTATGAGACAAGCAGCGAAATGTTGTCGATTATGGTTTTGCCTTCTCATAAATATACACAAAAAACTTCCGTACATCTAACAGTGTATGTGTTTTAACCAAACGTGACAATTAATTTCTATTTTCACGTCATATGGCCGTTCTCTCATTGAAGTGAATGAGTGAGCGAGCGAGTTGGGGTTTGACGCCGAAATGTACAGTTTAGTGATTTTGACTTTCTAGGTCATGTGACAATGTTCGTCAAAGATTTTTTAGAAGGTCAATGTGTGAGTGAGTGAGTTGGGTTTAACGCTGCTTTTAACAGTATTCCAGTTATATCACGGCGTGTCAGCTTCATGTGGGACGAAAGCTGGAAGTAATACACGTCTCAGTCGTTTACCACTTTGGTGAAACCCACGAGTTCGGGTATGGTGCTGACAAACCTAGAAACATAATCGGCGCGAACCAGGGTTCTGGTGTGCCCAGGGGATGCAACTCTACACAACGAATTGCGGCGCCTTAGACGACTGGGCCACCCGTGCCCCCAGAGGTTTAGAGAACTTGCATCATCAATTTCACAGTACATATAATCTCAGACATATAAAAATTCCGCTTTTAATTTGTCATGGAGAGGTGGGGGGGGTCTCTCTAAGGTGTTTAATTTGTAAAATCTCAGGTGGCCAATAATTATATTCTCTCCAATATTAGGGGATATTAGGAAGTAACACATGGTTGCAGATTTATGGAGTGATGGTAATTGATGGATAAGAAATAGGGAGGACAAGGTGTAACATGACACCAGATTATGTTGGCGGTGTATTGTAAGGGTGCAAACAACCACAAGGACGACAGGGGTATGCTGTAAAGAGTGCACGTTTGAGACGACATGATAAATAATGGGTCATACCCCTACAATTGGTCAAACAATCGTTTGTAGGGCTTGGCATGGTCCGAATCAGTCTCCCTTTGACACTTTGAAGGAGTCTTTCCACTCCTCTTGCAGCGCCTTGCCCAGTTTGGCGAAGGATTGATTGTTGAGTGTTTGTTGTTTTACGCCGCACTCAGCACTATTCCAGCTATATGACGGCGGTCTGTAAATAATCGAGTCTGGACCAGACAATCCAGTGATTGACATCATCGATCCACGCATTTTGGAAACGATGTCATGCATCAACCAAGTCAGCGAGCCTGACCACCCGATCCCGTTAGTCGCAGGGAACAACAATTGGCACCACTATTGCGTCTCGGTAGTACTGTCCAGTGACCATTCAACTGACACTAGGGGGCACGGGTGGCCCAGTCGTCACTCAGTTGACACTATGCAGTTGCGTTCTGGCAGTTATGGTGATCCCGCCACATGTGATTACATGTTGTCTTACGTTGACGTTCGCATGGCGTTCGTTAAGACGCCTCCAGACGTCCACGCCTACCACACGAGGCCATCGGTGATGTCTGTGCTACAAACACTATTGGCTAGAATGTGTCGATTTGTTAAGTAACTTAAACTCCGGTGGCCTGGCTCAAGCGAATAATGATTTGATTTGAACTCAATTTCTTAAAGCCTGGTTTCTGATCAATCGATCCTGGTCTTGTGTTGTTGGTCTAGGGCGCTCAATGCATGCGGGGCCAATCATTAACTTTTTGTATCTGCAGAAACCTGTTCCAAAGTCTTCAAATCACAGACTGGGACACACTGAACATACTGGCTACCTCTCGTATCAGTTTGAAGCATGCCAATAACTATTAAGCGTTCATCGCGTTCGTTGTAGACGACGCATTCCCAATTTGATCACAAATGCAGAAATGACATGTATTTTGTGTAGATTGCTTGATTATCGAGAATAACGCCCCAGTTGAGATAAGGGCTCGCTTGAAGCGACCCTCACAGAAGGGCTTGGATTTGTTTCAAATCATGAACAAGTTTACTAAACACTTTATTCCTAGCTTGCCACTCGCAACAAGTGGAAGTAATGAGGGCATTTCGTGTCCACACCCAACATGCGCCTAAATCACAAGCGATATGACGTGGGTATTAGGCACGTACAATGTTTGAATACCTACAGCCCTTAATCGATATTTTCTTACCTTCTCGAAAATGACATGTTTCCAAGAATGGTCATAAATCTGTTTCATGGAGGAATGTGGGCATGCCGGAAGTAGCGTGGGCGCCATGTTTACCTCCATTTTGGGATTTCAGGATGATTTCGCTGTTTTGAAATAAAGGATTTCGTGGATTTGTATTTCGTTTGTTTTGTTTTGTCAAATAGACCAATTCTGTAATGAACATGAATAAGGTACGTTTAAAGAAAAGGCCAATTTAGGAATAGCGATTGATTTGCACCGCACATAACTCCATCTCCATCACCGGGATTGGATATGAATGCAATAGGCGACTATGCTTGTCGTAAAAGCCGGGTAAAAGGATCGGGTGGTCAATCTCGCTGACTTGTTTGATGCATGTCATCGCATCTCAATTGCGTAGATCGATGCTCATGATGTCCATCACTGGGTTGTCTGGTCAAGACTCGATTATTTTGTGATTCCTTAGACCAGTGACCCAGCCTTGCTCCGTATTTTCAAAAAACATCATGATAATAACTGTATTCTATATTCCTAACTTTCCCCCTTGATACCTCCACCCGAAATAATGAAATCTCGCGTCTTCTCGTTCCAGACGATGTCGGACACCTCCTCCGAGACAAGCGGCGATGTGGGAGGTTGCAAACAGATAGATCTATCTCACGTCGCATGTTCCTTCATGTTCAAGAGCATCTCCAGACCAACAACTGCCTCCTCCATCCGGGCAAAACTCTGGTCACGTGAGCGTCAAGCGTACGAGGAGGAATACCATCGCAACATGCAGCAGTTCCGGAACAGGCCGTACATGAAATACGAGTACCCGGAAATAGGACGCCATTATCCGGGTACTTGGCGGACGGCCGGTCCGGCGGAGTTGGACTCCATTGTGGCGCGGCTTACCAAGAAAACAGCGGCCAGCGTCGCGCGTGAGCATGATATTAAGTCGCAGCATTCGTACGTGCTGAAGAAGAGGGGGAAATCGACTCGAGTGAAAATGGACAAATAGTGAGACCTGGTTTAACTTTCACTGATGACGTTGGAAAATGGACGCCCTGTTACCGAACAGTGACGGATTTCTTTTCATGTGACGGATATCACTTTTGAGAATATCCATGGTTTTTTTAAATTGGTGACGGGTATTAAAAGCTCTGGTTTGTGATGTCATATCAAAATGACTTTTTGTTGTAGGCTTAATCCACCCTTGGGTGAGTGTGAGAGTGAGTTGGGTGTAACGCCGCTTTGAACAGTATTCCAGTTATATCACGGTGCGTCTGCTTGATGTGGGAGGAAAGCCGGAAGTGACGCAAGTCTTCGTTTACCACTTCGGTGAAACCCACGAGCAAAATCCACCCTTTGACCCCTGCGATACTGTCATTAGTTAAACAAGTATATACACATATATATTTGTAATTACTCAACATATGATAGGGGTCTTCCTGTTAGTATTCGATAATTCTTTTCTTGTTTTATTATTTGTTTTACGGATATCTTGTCTCGAAACCTTGAGTCGGTGGTCGAAATAAAAATGTAAATACCATCCAATTAAATTGTGTTTTTGTTGGAGGGTTCGAAGGATGAGAAAGAAAATTATTTTAAATTCTTTCTCTTTGTTATTTGTGTCCCGAATGTAATTTTGTATGGCTCTTAACATGTCCACGGAAGCTGAGTTTCCCGCATCCGTACATCGTTTAACATCAGGTTTTCTATATGTCCCTACTAGGGGGCCACGGATCGACCCACAAGTAAAGTCTGCCATGTGTGCTGTAGGATGTGCAGCGCACTTCTGCATCTCCAACTGCATAGAAAAGACATATTTTTAGAATTTATACCAACCTCTTCCTAAGTCACTTACCTCCAAATACTGTGCTATATTGCACCGAGTGACATTTGATTAAGAATTCCAGATACCGTAGCCTCATTTTAGACAAGGAACGAATGAGGGGACACAGAGGCAACTATTGGTCGATCTTAGTGTCAAGACGATCGTAACTGCCACAACTATTGGTCGATCTTAGTGCTAAGACGATCGTAACTGCCACAACTATTGGCCGCTCTTAGTGCTAAGACGATCGTTACTGCCACAACTATTGGCCGATCTTAGTGCCAAGACGATCGTAACTGCCACAACTATTGGCCGATCTTAGTGCCAAGACGATCGTAACTGCCACAACTATTGGTCGATCTTAGTGCTGAGACGATCGTAACTGCCACAACTATTGGCCGATCTTAGTGCCAAGACGATCTTAACTGCCACAACTATTGGTCGATCTTAGTGCCAAGACGATCGTAACTGCCACAACTATTGAGCGATCTTAGTGCCAAGACGATCGTAACTGCCACAACTTTTGGCCGATCTTAGTGCCAAGACGATCGTAACTGCCACAACTATTGGTCGATCTTAGTGCTAAGACGATCGTAACTGCCACAACTATTGGTCGATCTTAGTGCTAAGACGATCGTAACTGCCACAACTATTGGCCGATCTTAGTGCCAAGACGATCGTAACTGCCACAACTACTGGTCGATCTTAGTGCTAAGACGATCGTAACTGCCACAACTATTGGCCGCTCTTAGTGCTAAGACGATCGTAACTGCCACACTTTAACACTGACATACGGCAGTCGTAGCTCTTAAGATGACAAAGCTATGAATAGTATCCATCCTGGCCTCATATCATGCCTTTAGCAGACATTTGTAAGTCTTAGGGACCAACCATTTAATATTCTAATTCTTGAAAAATATTGCCACAAAAATTACATTACATTAAAAAATTCAGGCTCATATTATTAAATAAAAATATATCTGGTTTTGTAGCTGTAGCTGAAAAAATGTCTAATCTCGATACAAAATCCCAGCTTCTTCAGACAAATTCTTTTTTTTCTATTTTCTATTTACTATTTTTCGTTTTTTTGAAGACCAATTCTAACCCGATCTTCATAAAGCCTGACGTATGTTAGTCTTTGGGGCACGGGTATGGTCCTGACAGACGAAGGATCAGTGGTAAAGACTGAACGAAAATTAGGTATACGGTCAAGACGAACGAAGGCAATTCGAAGAGTAACATAACGTTCACGAGGTCGGCCGGATTGTGTTGTCCAGGGGGTCTCCCCACCCACACTGAGTGTTGGTTAAAATGCTGGATCCGCCTGGTGGTATACCTGTTGTACTGATACAAACAATTATCGAGGAATTACCCTTCTGAGTGTTTTTAGCAAAACATTTGTTTCTATTGTCAATAAAAGGCACACCTTTTGGTCAGATTCATTAGATAAAATTTCGGAAGAACAAGGAAGTTTTAGACAAGGGTACACAACCACGGATAATATTTTCATACTTAATGCGATTATTGACAAATAGATGCAGAGAAACGGTGAAAAATTGTATGCATTTATTGTAGATTTCAATAAGGCGTTTGATTCTGTAAACAGAAATATAACAAAAGATCGTACACAAGAACAGAACTATATCATCAACAAAAAGCAACAGAAATACCTTAACAAGATCTGGATGCAACTGTATACCATCCGTACAATTATCCTTAATTTGTGCAGCCAGTTCATTGATAAAATAAACAGAACAGGAGGGAGCTAAGAATACAGCCTTGGCGTACACCATTGTTACATGTAAAGACATCAGAATATAGTCCCCGTTTTGTAACACATGAATTTACATTTTGATAAATATTGCATAATATTTTACATATTTTGTTGCTCACACCATTTGAAAGAAACAATGACCACATTATATTTCTGTTTACAGAATCACTCAACAAACTTTATATAGATCATGTCAACAACTGATAAAGATAAAACTATCAATGTTCATCTATCATGCTATGTTAATTAGAATGTGACCTGTTAAACATATCTGCATCCACTCCCGAGAACAGAATTGTACTATGGGCCTGAGGCCTTCAGTATGGAATAAAACAGATCCTTATCCTTATCCTTATCTTTACCTTAATCCTTATCCTATATGCCACATCCATCAACCCATGAACTGCGCTTCACTGTGATTCATTGGGTCATTTAGCGGGTGATTTATCGGGTGAGTGATTTGAATTTAACGCCACTTTAAACAGTATTGCAGTTATATACCTGTGTGTCAACTTAATGTGGGAGGAATTCCAAAGTAACGCCGTAGGCGTTTGTGAAATCCATAAACCCGGATATGGTGTTCATAGGCAGGGAGAATCTTATATTTGAATCAATGATCAGCGGATCCTATTGTGCGTAAGGTATGTAACTATGCAAACCTAATAGCGGCGTGGTTGGGCCAACTGTGCCCTCAGTTAGACTGTTTGTTGACAAGGCCGGCATATGCTTTGTTTGTTTGTTTGTTTAACGCCGCACTCAGCAATATTCCAGCTATATGACGGCGGTCTGTAAAATAATCGAGTCTGGACCAGACAATCCAGTGATTGACATCATGAGCATGGATCCACGCAATTGGGATACAATGACATGCATCAACCAAGTCAGCGAGCCTGACAACCCGATCCCGTTAGTCGCCCCTTACGACAAGCATAGTCGCCTTTTACGGCAAGTATGGGTTGCTGAAGACCTATTCTACCCCGGATTCTTCACTGGTCCCCGGCATATGCGGAAGTTCTGCTCTTCGAATTAGTTCATGACTCCCGTGGGACCTATTCCGGTCCTACAAGTTTCAGAGACTCTGTTAAATACGTGTCATCGTGACCTGACGGCGTGAGACTGTGCGCATAATATCAATCACAGGTTCTCTGGTCCATACTCGATTATTTACAGACCGTTTGTGTTAAACAACAAACAATGCTACGGACCTTGTGTTTGATTTATATACTTGTATTTTAGGGAAGAAAGCACAACGCGGTGGATGTTGCAGACGTTAACTATTTTTTATGGAATACTGTAAGGGACATTCTCGCGATCTCGCGATCTCGACCTATGGAAACGAGCTAAATATGCCCCAAACACGAGAATGCGAGATCGCGAAAATATCCCTTACAGTATTCCATAATTTTTTGAAAGCCATGAGTTTCACACACCATGGGTCATAATGGCTCCGAAGCACGGACAGCGGATCCTGGCTGGAGGAAGAGTAGCTATGTCCGGCCTTGTTTTTACTATCCGACATTAATTGTTTTGACGATCAATAACTGCCGGATGGTACAAACACGGGGGCTAGCTGTGCATAGCTACGATTTTACAGCTACGGGAAAGGGACACAACTCCGCACGTCGAATTGCGCTCTGAGAACAATCTTGCTTCTTTAGGTTAATTACATCATTTCGCATTTCTGCCAGACCACATTTATATGATCTTGTTTTTCGTCATAAAAATTGTTAAGAAGAAGAAAGTATTTTATTTTATTCATTAAAAACCTTTTTTTCCCCAACCACTCCAAACTATATAATGAATTGTAGAAATAAACGACCCTCCAAGTCATGTGCTTTAAAACATGGCAGCAAAATCATGACAGCACATTCGAACAGCATACCTGCATGTCAGGACGGGTAAGAAGTGCAACCTCGGAATTGAAAATAATCTAAATAATCTATAATCCGGATTAATTGGAATCCATGCATATAATAACCATTACAATGAAAACAAAAACAACTTTAAGGGTCGGGCCGATTTGCATAGCTGGTCGGTATTAAAAACAAGATATGTTTAAGTCGCCTAACCGTAATAATATATGAAATCATTTCATGTGATTCCTATTGTTTCTTCACAATATTCTATATCGGTTTTTACAATTGACATTTATTGAAGATACAAGCAATGGTTTCGTCTTAAATCACTCAACATTCACAGTGGACATGCTTTGAAATTCAGGTATTCACTGAAATGGTCTTTTTCAGTTGGTTGTTAGGAACTTAAACTACTTAAACTTAAATCACCTGATATTTGTATACTCATTTGTTTCAAATTGTTCGTCTAATTTTTGTATTCCTGCACTAAAATAATAGAAAATATTACACCAGTTTCATGGGAACAGGATTGCATTCAATATTACATATTAAACCCAGGCCGATCGCGTCGGGTTCACTGATTCCATTTCTGGCGTTCTTCCCAGTGACGTAACGGAACGCGTGGCAGCAAATCCCGTGACGTAACGCGATTGTTTCATAGCGACACAGGCTTTCCCTGTTGGACGCAAGTGGACTCTCTCCTCGGACATTTAACCTTTGGCGTTGGACAGTAAGCAACAGTCGGCTAAATCAAAATGCCTGGCTCAAACTGCAAGGGAAAGAGTATTGTAATGACACCGGACCCGTATCATACACCCGGGTGAGTTTATCACAAGAATCATATTTATCTATATATCGATATACTTAATGCTTGTTGAGTTGTATACCAGTACCACTCTACATATTTTGCAATTTTCGGATATACGCGGATATGATTAACAGCTTATTCTTATACTTATGTGATATGTTTTACCTATAGAAAAATTGCGCGAGGAATTATTAATTAATTATCAAGTTTGTATTCATTATGTTGTTTGCACTTCAGCAAGTTTAGTATACGTCGGCTTTCTGGAAATAACACCAGTGCAGCTTAAATACTTTTCCTATTCCCCACCGAATTCCTTTTAATCAACATATGTTCACAAGGAGAATTTTGCTCAATCTCTCCACTCATTGCAAACACCATACAGAGTATGCGCTGCGAAACCAAAATATAGAATCGATATATATTGATATACATATTTAGATTTTATTATGTGCTTATTCGTTCTGTCGTTTGACCGTGTATAGCTATGAATATGAAAGTACATGATTGATATACAATTGAGTTTTTCATGTCAAAGAACATGCTTACCTATTTTGTCAAAGACACTCGATCCATTATAAAGATTATCTGATAAGAAATGGCAAAAAATCCCTCTATTTATGTCATATCGTATTGTGAGAACGGTGTATGAGATATTTAAACGCTTCTTGATCATGAATCAGTATCTACCTTGTTCTCGGGCCTCAGCTCCAAGTGGTGAAAGTACTCCATGTTTTCTGTAGTTTGAAGTTGTACTCTGCAATATTCCAGCTATATGACGGCGGCCTGTAGCTGTTTGTTGTTTTACGCCGCAGTCAATATTCCAGCTGTACGAAGGCGGCCTGTAATATACCCCACAACGCGTTTTGCGAAGGGGCATAAAAATGGACTCCGTCTTTCTGTCCGTCCGTGATGGCGATGTAGTTTCCGGTGCAGATGTTGAAGACCGCACCAAATTTGACACATAGATAGATCTGGTGATGAACTGGTACCTTTTGACAGTTCGGAATTTCTCAAAAATTATTTCTAGTTTCCATGGCAACAACTTTAACTTAGACTGAAAATGGCGGTAGTGTTCGTTTCCGGAGCAGATCTTGAAAACCGTAAATATTTGTTCACCAAACTTGGCACATAGAAAGGTCTAGTGGTGAGTTGGTGCCTTTTGGTAGTTTGGGATTTAGGAAAAAAATATTTTTAAAGTTTCCATGGCAACAACTTTGTCTTAGACTGAAATGGCGATAGTGCTCATTTCCGCAGCAGATCTTCTTCCCCAAACTTGGCACATATATAGATAGGTCTAGGGGTGAACTGTACCATTTATACCATTGTAGTGGTTATCGATGACTTTGTCAGCAATATCCCAGTTATGTGACGGCGGTCTGTAAATAATCGAGTATGGGTCAGACAATCCATATGTTTAGATGTTAAACACATGCACGGCGTGTGTAGCTGAAAACAGGTTTGGTATTGTGTTTTAGATTTGCTTGTTTGTTGTTTCACGCCGCACTCAGCAATATTCCAGCTATATGGCGGCGGTCTGTAAATAATCGAGTATGGACAAGACAATCCAGTGATTGACATCATGACCATCAATCTACGCAAATGGGATACGATGACATTCACCGACCAAGTCAGCGAGCCTGACCACATGATCCCGTTAGTCGCCTCTTACAACAGGCATGGGTTGCTGAAAATCATTCTAACCCGGATCTTCATGGGGATCGGCGGCCTGGGAAAATAATCAAACCCGACGATGACACGTAATCAACCAAGTCACCGAACAAAATCAATAAATCCTTTTATTCGACTCTTATAAATACAAGCATGGATTATTGGGATTTGCTAAATCTCGGAATCCCCGCGGGTCTGCTTTCTGTTGGGGGCCGACTTACACAGATCGAGTGCTAACAATGTGTAGCTTGGTAGAATGTGTGTCCTGGCGGCGTGCATCGTTGCCCGCGCAATAATGAGGGTGCCACACACACATTTCAAAATCATTATTTCAGGGACGCCTCCGTGTCCAAGTTGAAAGCTACAAAATGGTTCTTGTTGTTACCCTGCCTGGCGCTTGGCATTAACTGCTCATGTTTAACTACGGCATGGTATCAAAGTGGGCTAGCACTATAAAACCGGCATATTTCCGAATAACTCACACACACACACACACACGCACACGCACACACACACACACACACACACACATACCTCCCCTGAACTCCGAATACCAACTTATATTTCACTTGAGTCTCATTGCTCATCCTTGTATAATACTACTTAATATAAATCTCAAAAGCTTTGAGAAAACGGCTAGATTTGATGTTAGATTTATAAAAAAATGTCGAAGAAAGAACTTATATAAAGGACTCATTTATGTACAATGTTATATTTGTCTAAATGCTGTATCTGCGAACCAAATACGGACTTTATTTGCGTGCCGCGTACCACACTGCCGAGTCCCGAATACCCCCTAAATATCCCGCGTACAAGAAGGGGGTTTGCAGCCTCAGAAATCAACTGGTTTGTCTGTCCTTGACTCAAGTTTGCAGACCGCCGAAATAGCTGGAATATTGCCAAATGAGGCGTTAAAAACATATGTCGTTTTACCCCTAAAATGCATTATGGGTGAGTTAGTGTGTTGGTCAACTTGTTCTGGAGTGCGTGAGTTGGTGAGTGAATGAATGTAGTTGAACGCCGCGGTCAGCAATATTGTGAGAGGCCACAGCGGCCTTTATTTAACCAGGATTAGATCAGCCAAGAGCCACGAGCTACACCAACGGGGATTAACGACACAGAATCAGCCAGCCATAGAGCCTGCTCTACTCGTCTCTGGGGACATGCACGAGATACTGGGACCTGTTCTTATCTTGAATCTTCATAGGATACCAAACGTTTAGAATTAATCCAGTTAAAAGTACCTCAAGGCAAGAGGGGTACGAATAAAAATAACTATCTACATTCATTACAGAATTTTACTGTATTTTTGTTCGCACTTGCGTACACACGTCCATGTTGTGTGTGAGTGTGTGTGTGTGTCGGGGGGGTGGGGGTGGGTGGGGGGAGGGAGGGAGGGGATGGGGTGTCATTTTATCACTCGAGTTTATTATATTCATTTTTTAAAGAAACATTTGTGCGATTATTTCCCGTTACAGATTGTTTGGCGTGTTGAAATTGCTTAAGTGACAGAAGGCAATGAAGAATATGTTATTTTGAAATTCGTCCTTGTGATAAGAAATATACATTTTCTACTCCCTGCAGTTATGGCGGCTTTTGTCCCCAATTCAAGTACCAGATCGGTCAGACATTCGGCCGGACGACATCTCGTCTGCTCCAAGACACGGACGTGGCGAGTTCCGGGCGCCTGGTCCTCGCCGACATCGAGCCGTCTGCCAGCCTCGATCTCGGCCAACAGCGGCGAGCCAAGATTCTCAACTCTCGAGTTCAAAGTTGGGGGGACCAAAAGCTCGTAGAGAAAATGGTTCCTGGGTACACAGGTAGGTTCCATTAAACGGTTTATATAGAAGTGAGTTCCATAGACATATAGTAATAGTAACAAATATTGTAGAATATGGAGTATCAAGACAACAATAGCTGACGTAACATAAATGCATGGTGAATGTATAAAGAAACGTATAGTTGAATGTTATGCTTTTTATTTGACAAGACATACAAAATTATTATAAGATTTACATGAAAATGACCAGGCTGGTAAATATCCAGTTCTATACAGTGTGAACATTTGAATGTAAGCAACACAATATTATCGAAAGATATAAACATCGTTTTAGCTTTAACAAATGAAGCTAAACCGCCATCGATGTTTGACCACATACGTATATGAAGCTTGATAAATCTACGACAGTCGATGTGAGTGCTAGGTATATTGTACTGAACGTGTTATGTAAAATGTTGTTTTCGTCCGTAAGATAACGCGTCTTAAATCTGAATTCTGATTTGTCGAAAAGACGCATTAACAGTATCCAGCACATGAAGCTTACGCGTGTTGTATGAATATTATTATCAGACTGTTTAATGTACTGTTTATGTTTGAAATAATTTTACCTAACGGTCGTACCAGACCAGTGAATTAGGTATGTGTTCTGAACATGATCGCGTGTCTGTGATTGTAAAGATAATTTCTAGGGTTTCAAAAAAATAAGTATACTCAGGGTCATTATTGAGGGGTCACATGGGTACAATGTGTGAAGCCCATTTCTTTTGTCCCCCGCCGGGATATTGCTGGACTATTGCTAAAACGGCTTAAAACCATACTCACTCACTCACTAGCTGGAATATCCATATAGCGAGGCAAGGCCATGATCTCTCCCTTGGCCACTTCTTCTAATTACAGAATCTCGGTGAAGGGCATTGTTGCTGTGTTTGAATCTTATATAAGCAAAGGCGATCATAATGATAGTCTGAATGTACGACTTAGCACATAATCCGGGTTCATCCAGGCGATCTTGAACATAGGAAAATGATCCCGTCTTTGTAGATCTGGATTGATTTACTGGGCTGTTGAAGTCCATGGCGTGACGAGTACATGAGAAGTTCCCTCGTGTTTACTGCTCCACTGGTTGCTGGTCGGGTTACCGTTGATAGTACCCACAATCTCACCGGAGGCCTCCCTTCACGTGGGGTGGGGTGGGGTGGGGGTTGGCGGGTGACGGGTACTTTTTACATAAAGTATTCCCTGGGAACAATGTTGTTTATATTTTGTTTGTTTGTTGTTTAACGTCGCACTCACCAATATTCAAGCTATATGACGTCGGTCTGTAAATAATCGAGTCTGGACCAGACAATCCAAGTCATCGAGCCTGACCAAATGATCCCGTTAGTCGCCCCTTACGACAAGCATAGTCGCCTTTTGCGGCAAGCATGGGTTGCTGAAGACCTATTCTACCCCGGATCTTGAACTATAAGCAGTTGATATTGCCACGCATTTAGCTGGGTAGTTGGACACGTATTGGTCTATAGAAGCAAGTGATTTTGATCACGTATTGATCTACAGGTAGTTGATACCGGCCACATATCGACCTAGGCAGGTGATTTTGGCCACGTTTTGAGCTAGACAGTTTATATTTGCCATGTGTATCGCGGTAGGTTGTTAATATTGTGTAGTTGATATTTAGCCATGTATTGAACGAGGCAGTTGATATTGACCTAGGGTGTTCATATTGGCCATGTATTGACCTAGGGTGTTCATATTGGCCATGTATTGACCTAGGGTGTTCATATTGACCATGTATTGACTTAGGGTGTTCATATTGGCCATGTATTGACCTAGGGTGTTCATATTGACCATGTATTGACCTAGGGTGTTCATATTGGCCATGTATTGACCTAGGGTGTTCATATTGGCCATGTATTGACCTAGGGTGTTCATATTGACCATGTATTGACCTAGGGTGTTCATATTGGCCATGTATTGACCTAGGGTGTTCATATTGACCATGTACTGACCTAGGGTGTTCTTATTGGCCATGTATTGACCTAGGGTGTTCATATTGACCATGTCCTCAGCGCAGCAGTTTGACTTCCATCGCCAGGTTTCATCCCAAAGGGTCAGCACTATTTCGGCACGCGTTACGCCGAGGGTTGCCGGAACTCCATCTGTGACTTTGAGCTGGATCACCGGACTTACAAGGGGAAGATGCAGGAACTGACAGACCTGGAGGCGTTACAGACGGGGAGGACCCCCAGGACGGTCCGGGATCTGCCGGTGAGTTTCTGTAGAACATCACGTGATTTGAAGGTGAATTTATATATAGCACACCATGACATATGGCGGTGAGTTTCTGGTGAACACCACGGAATCTGCCGGCGAGTTTCTGTAGAACACCGCGGGATCTGCCGGCGAGTTTCTGTAGGACACCGCGGGATCTGCTGGCGAGTTTCTGTAGAACATCACGTGATTTGAAGGTGAATTTATATATAGCACACCATGACATATGGCGGTGAGTTTCTGGTGAACACCACGGAATCTGCCGGCGAGTTTCTGTAGAACACCGCGGGACCTGGCGGTGTTTCTGCAGAACACCACGGTATTTGGCGGTAAGTTTCTATAGAACACCACGGTATTTGGCGGTAAGTTTCTGTAGAACACCACGGTATTTGGCGGTAAGTTTCTGTAAAACACCGCGGGATCTGTCATTGGGTTTCTATGAACACCATGTCATTTGTAGGTGAATTTCTGAAGCACACAACAGTATCTGGCGGTACGTTTCTGTAGAACACCACGTGATTTATAGTTGCGTTTGACAGATGAGTGAGGTGGGTTTAATGCCACTTTTATAAATATTCCAGTTATATCACGGCGTGTCAGCTTAATGTGGGAGGAAAGCCCGAAGTGATGCAGGTCTCAGACGTCTACCACTTCGGTGAAACCCACGAGCACGGGTATGGTGCTGACAAACCTAGGAACATAGTCAGGGAGAACCGGAATTGGAACCCACGAGCACACGTTAATGAAAAGTTTACACTTAAAGTATTATTGGTTAACTTTATTACAACCCATTTAATGCCGCCACAAGCTAATTAAACAATTAAAGTGTAATAAACCCTTGAGTTAAAGAATGTTTAATTCCTGGTCCGGTCGTCCAACAGTATCGTCATGTGCGTGTTACTTGCAGATATGACCCGTGAAGATCAGGGGTAGAATAGGCCTTCAGCTTGCCATAAAAGCGACCATGCTTGTCGTAGGAGGCGACCAACAGGATCAGGTGGTCAGGCTCGATGATTTGGTCATTTGTCATCATATCCCAACTGCGTAGATCGATGCTCATGTCAAACACTGGATTGTCTGGTCCAGACTTGATTATTTACAGACCGCCGTCATATAGCTGGAATAATACTGAGTGCAGCTTTAAACAACAAACGATCAAAGGAACAAACTTGCAGATATGCAATGTAGTTGTTGTTTTTGTGTTTTTTCAGCCCCTAAAAACTAAGCAGGTTCATCCACTAAAGTCAATAGCCGCGCAACCCGAGCCCTACCAATCTCCTAACGTCGTCAAACATATGTTGTCGCCTTTCGAAATGAACAATGCTGACCCAAACAAAAACTTCATGTCAGGTAAGGAGAGTGAGTGAGTTGTGTTTTAGGCCGCTGTGAACAGTATTTAAGTTATATCACGTCGTATCCGTTTAATGTGGGATGTAAACCTGTGACACCGGTGTGAGACGCTTAGCACTGTGGTTAAAACCCATGCGCAGGGTCTGGTGGTGATAAACAAATGATCCTAACCTGGGATTCGAACCCACAATCATCGGATCCTGGGACGCCTAAGGGATGAAAGCAATGATGCCATCATGGGTTCCACGTTTGACAAAAAGGGATTCAGGGACACAAAAGCCCTTTGTGCCGCAAGCTTTATGTTCGAGCATATTGAAAAGAGCGTCAAGTGGCTGTCATTCCTGACCTGGATACTTGTTCATACTATCAACCACTGATTTGCCTGGTCCAGATTCGATAAAATACACCAAGAAATGGCACGAATATTGCTGATAACGGTGGCAATTAACATAGCCTTGCACCAGGGTCGCAATAAACAGACCAGAGATTCACATACATTTTGTTCATTTCAAAATCAATTTTTTTCAGGGACGCCTCCGTGGTCAAGTTGAAAGTTAAAAAATGGTTCTTGTTGTTACCCTGCCTGGCACTTGACATTAACTGCTCATGTTTAAGTGCGGTGTGGTATCAAAGTGGCCTTGCACTATATAACCGGCATATTTCCGAATAACACACACACACACACACACACACACACACACACACACACACACACACGTAGTTATATAAGTGCAATAATCTTCAACGCGAAGGTAAACTCCATTTCACCTCGCCCATAATTTCAGGCTACACAGGATTTGTCCCTCGGTCACGTGGTCTGATCGGCATCGGCTACCCCATCATCACCCACCACGCCCTGAACGACTTCACCGACGACGTGGCTCGGTCACAGTCTATCAAGGGTCTGCCCATTACCATCCACAGGAAGGAGAAAATAGTCCCCGACATGAAGGGCGTGTACCCTGTAGAGACAGGACTGGTACCTCACTATACCGGACACATACCTGGTGAGTAGGTTGTATATAGTGGAACCTCACTGTACAGGACACATACCTGGTGAGTAGGTTGTATATACTGGAACCTCACTATACCGGACACATATCTGGTGAGTAGGTTGTATTTACTGGAACCCAACTATACCGGATGTATACTGAGTAAGTAGGTTGTATATGGTGGAACCTCACTATACCGGACACATACCTTGTGAGTAGGTTGTATATACTGGAACCTCACTATACCGGCTGTATACTGAGTAAGTAGGTTGTATATGGTGGAACTTCACTATACCGGACACATACCTTGTGAGTAGGTTGTATATACTGTAACCTCACTATACCGGACACATACCTGGTGAGTAGGTTGTATATAGTGGAACCTCACTATACCGGACACATACCTGGTGAGTAGGTTGTATATAGTGGAACCTCAAAATACTGGACACATTACTGGTGAGTAGGTTGCACATACTGGAACCTCACTATGTTGGACACATGTCTAGTAAGTATACTTGTATATACTGGAATCTCACTATACCGGACACAACTGGTGAGTAGGTTGTATGTGCTGGTACCTCACACATCTGGACACATACCTAATGAGTATACTTGTATATGTTGCAGTCAATGTCAGTAATCAGGTAATATGTGTATTGACTGAAATGTTCAGTGGTATACATATTGCCTGAATATAGACATTGACTGTAACATACATACTGGAACCTCACTATACCGGACATATGCGCAGTGAGTATACATGTATGTACTGTACACTATACCAGACACATACCTTGTGAGTATACTTGTACATACTGGAACCTTACTATACTGGAAACATGCCTTGTGGGCATACCTGTATATACTGGAACCCCACTATACTAGACATGTGCCCAGTGAGTATTCTTGTATAAACAGGAATACAAACTTGTATATACTGGAACCTCACTATACCAGACACTTACCTAGTGAGTATACTTTCATATACTGGAACCTCACTATACCAGACTCTGTATACTGGAACCTCACGTTTGTATAACCCTTCAGTAGAGTGTAACCTGCCTAATGTGTATGTATCAAACTTATATAGGGCATAACCTGACAAAATCAAACATATAGCTGTTGAATAGAGGTGTCTACATTCAATAAGACCCGTGAAGATCCGGGGTAGAATAGGTCTTCAGCAACCCATACTTGCCGTAAAAGGCGACTATGCTTGTCGTAAGAGGCGACAAACGGGATCGGGTGGTCAGGCACGCTGACTTGGTTGAAGCATGTCCAACTGCGTGGATTGTCTGGTCCAGACTCGATTATTTACAGACCGCCGTCATATAGCTGGAATATTGCTGAGTGCGGCGTAAAACAACAAACCAACCAACCAACATTCTATAAAGTGTAACCTATACGTAAAGTAATTGTAAGGTCTTGCACAAACTGGTACTCACTGTACAGGAATGTGTTCTCTCCTTCAAAAGATTGTCAACAGCTTCCTTTTATAATTGCCTGTGTACCTAATCACCTTGGTGTTCTCTTTTAGGCCAGAAGTTCCGATATGGGGAGACATTCGGGCACAGCACCGAGAACGCCATGAAACACCCTCTCACAGCCAGGACGTAGACAGCAGTTGTCTCCCTTCCTTGTTTCTTTTTGTTGTTATTTTTTATGAACTGGGAATTGTTTTCAGAAAAGATGTTTCAATGTTCGATCAGGCAATGTTAAAATCATTAATGATTAAGACTTCTACAACAGGAGTAAATAATATTATTTTTTTATATTTATCAAACAAATCACGAACAGTAACCTCAGTGATATATACACATAGGTATCTGAAATTCTGCTTTTTCTCTTGGTAACGTCTTCAACTTTCGTTTATACCACAATAATTTACATGTTAAATAATCATGGCTTCTGATTGCCAGCACATTCCTTTTGTTTACTATTAAAAGGAAAATTTTGTTACCCTTTCGGTTTTTGTTATGAACAAATTATTACATCCTTCAGTAGACCAGTAACCTCAGTGATTGAGGCAGTTGAATTTCCGTTTTTTGTCTCATTAAAAATGTCTTGAGCTTTGCGACTCCCAAGATAACTTACCATTTAAATAATCATGTCTTCTGATTACCAGCTTATTCCTTATATTTATTATTACAAGGAAGAATAACTTTCTTCACTTTCGCTTTTCGTTGTGATCAAACTAAGTCACATTCTTCAATTGCAGTTCTATCATGGCAAACTTGATTTTTGTTGTTCCTTTATAATAGTTCTACATGCCTTTTTATTCACAACAGAGAATCTTCCAAATGTGACCTTATGGCATGATGGCTGTTTCTGATATTAGGTTCTGCTAAGACTTACACCTGTGGGTGAAAATTTGTCAACGATCTGGAAAACCCCATAGCTTGTTCCATCAGCATTTTCCAACAACTTTCACATTCATACACTGCCACCATATTTGGCCACCACGTACATATTACTCGACTTCCTGCAGCTGCCATGTTAATTTTTAAAACGGCAGTAATTTACGCCAATAGTATCTATCATGCCTCCATGTGTGGACGTGTTTACAATGAATATACAGCATGCATGGCACTTTTATATCTCGATTTTCTATCCAGAAAATATTTGAAATTTTATACCATCTCCTTGATATTAACTGTCAAGAATTACTTTGGTCCAATTAAAGCCATGTATAAATAATATATACTGCAATGGAATTACAAGGAAGCAATGGTGTTTCACAGCTAGATGAATGTTTAGCACATGGGTGTATGATTGTACTCTTGTAAGATTTTTTCAAATGTTTGTAAGATGAGTGATTAACAGTGTAAATATAATTTTCAAACTTTTTTTGTCATAAATGTTTTATTTTGATGTATAAAATGTAAATAAATATAGATATTTTAGCATAGCATTGTGTCATTTTTTCTTTTGGGATCAGTTAGGTAATGTTATGTTTACTGCCCTCACCTGTTACCGTGACAACTTGCTGGTTTGTTTGTTATCACTGTAACGATTGGTATGCTGTATCGTACATCTATGGGGGGTATTCATCCTGTGTCAAGAAGTACATCATCAGTGATGTGATACACATGCCATGCTTGCCGTAAAAGGCGACTATGCTTGTCATAAGGGAAACTAACAGAATCGAGTGGTCAGACTCGCTGACTTTGTTGATGCATGTCATCGTATGCAAATTGCGTGGATGCTCATGATGTCAATCACTGGATTGTCTGGTCCAGACTCGATTATTTACAGACCGTTGTCACATAGCTTGAATATTGCTGAGTGTGGCGTTCAACAACAAATAAACAAACAAACAAATATGGAATCTAGTAAGACAGCATCAATATTCTATCCATTTGTACGGTTTTGTGACCCTTTAGACCACAGCTAGGATCATTCATGCAAAGTTTAAGATCATGGGCTTATTGTTAAACGATGTAAAAACACATCAGATTACAATGGACTGTCAGACAATATGTTATAACCAAACCTCACCAGAATTTTCAGTTCAATGAGATGAAAAGCAAAACAAAAAAGTTGTTTCCAAGATTTATTACAAAATGAAATGGCAGTGAGTGAGTGAGTGAGTGAGTGTGTTGAGAGTTATGTCTTCTGTACCAGCACGGGGGTGGGGATGAACTTGTTGGAGGCGAAGTGTTCCCTCAGGTAGCCCTCCCCCATCTCCTCATACTCCCCCCTGGTGATGCTGCAAGATGACAGGTGAGGGGACAGCGCCCACTTCCTTGCCCCCAGCCAACTGTCCAGGCTGGGATTGCCTGAAACAGGAGTGAGTAAGTTCCAGTTATATCACGGTGTATCAGATCAATGTGCGAGGAGAGCCTGAAATAAAAGGTGCCTTAGGTTTGCCAGAAGAGAAGATTATGAGTTCAAAAGGATTTACAATTTTCTGCTTTATGAATCACAGATGCATAATAATGTCCCTATATACATATAAATAGACATTCAGTATCTGTCCAGAAATGGGGTTTCCATAAGAAAAAGGCTTGACAATACATAGATATCTTACCTGCTACCGACACATTGAATGTCGACTGAAACGGTCTTATCTGTCGCAGATCCCTCACTAGACGTTCCCTGAAGCCTGGCAGCCAGGCATTGCCACCAGTAATGAACACATTCTGAAACATTTACATCACAACTGAAGCCTGGCAGCCAGAAATTGCCACCAGTAATGAACACATTCTGAAACATTCACATCACAACTGAAGCCTGGCAGCCAGACATTGCCACCAGTAATGAACACATTCTGAAACATTTACATCACAACTGAAGCCTGACAGCCAGACATTGCCACCAGTAATGAACACATTCTGAAACATTTACATCACAACTGAAGCCTGACAGCCAGGCATTGCCACCAGTAATGAACACATTCTGAAACATTTACATCACAACTGAAGCCTGGCAGCCAGACATTGCCACCAGTAATGAACACATTCTGAAACATTTACATCACAACTGAAGCCTGACAGCCAGACATTGCCACCAGTAATGAACACATTCTGAAACATTTACATCACAACTGAAGCCTGACAGCCAGGCATTGCCACCAGTAATGAACACATTCTGAAACATTTACATCACAACTGAAGCCTGGCAGCCAGACATTGCCACCAGTAATGAACACATTCTGAAACATTTACATCACAACTGAAGCCTGACAGCCAGACATTGCCACCAGTAATGAATACATTCTGAAACATTTACATCACAGCTGAAGCCTGGCAGCCAGGCATTGCCACCAGTAATGAACACATTCTGAAACATTTACATCACAACTGAAGCCTGACAGCCAGGCATTGCCACCAGTAATGAACACATTCTGAAACATTTACATCACAACTGAAGCCTGGCAGCCAGACATTGCCACCAGTAATGAACACATTCTGAAACATTTACATCACAACTGAAGCCTGACAGCCAGGCATTGCCACCAGTAATGAACACATTCTGAAACATTTACATCACAACTGAAGCCTGACAGCCAGGCATTGCCACCAGTAATGAACACATTCTGAAACATTTACATCACAACTGAAGCCTGGCAGCCAGACATTGCCACCAGTAATGAACACATTCTGAAACATTTACATCACAACTGAAGCCTGACAGCCAGACATTGCCACCAGTAATGAACACATTCTGAAACATTTACATCACAACTGAAGCCTGACAGCCAGGCATTGCCACCAGTAATGAATACATTCTGAAACATTTACAACACAACTGAAGCCTGGCAGCCAGACATTAATGAACACATTCTGAAACATTTACATCACAACTGAAGCCTGACAGCCAGGCATTGCCACCAGTAATGAATACATTCTGAAACATTTACAACACAACTGAAGCCTGGCAGCCAGACATTAATGAACACATTCTGAAACATTTACATCACAACTGAAGCCTGGCAGCCAGACATTGCCACCAGTAATGAACACATTCTGAAACATTTACATCACAACTGAAGCCTGGCAGCCAGGCATTGCCACCAGTAATGAATACATTCTGAAACATTTACATCACAACTGAAGCCTGACAGCCAGGCATTGCCACCAGTAATGAACACATTCTGAAACAATCACATCACAACTGAAGCCTGACAGCCAGACATTGCCACCAGTAATGAACACATTCTGAAACATTTACATCACAACTGAAGCCTGACAGCCAGACATTGCCACCAGTAATGAATACATTCGGAAACAATCACATCACAACTGTGCCAAGAGTCCTCTGTAAACATGATAAATACCTGTACAAGACTGTTCTGTGAGGCAGCGTCATATTTCTTGAGAACAAAATCAGCAGTTTCAGCAATACCGGCCTGCTCAACACCGATCATAGAGGGCTGGAATAAGACTTCCGGTGCTCTGAAAAAGTTGCAAATATAGTCTCTACTTTATCAACAACAAAATTACTATTTTGCTTGTTTGATGTTCAACACCGCACACAACAGGCTTATGATAGCCACCTGTAAGCACTCAAGTCTGGACCCGAGGAACCTGTGATTGATATTGTGAGCAGCATCAGGGTAAGATGAGCCTGACCACCCGATCCACAAACCACCTCGACAACCAGCATTGGTTGCTGGGGAGAATTTCTCAAGAGGGTCTTGAATACAGATCTGTGGTCATCATGTGTGACATGGCAGGTTTTTGTGTGACGTTCATGCCCTGACAGCACGAACTGGTGCTCATACTATCAACCACTGGTTTGTATTTACTGCTGACTGGCATAAAACAATACATATTCAATCATTTATTCACTGAGCTGAGCTTAAATGTCAACCCCAAGTTGAAGCACATTGGAATATTTGGTATAACTCTGGTCTAAATTCCATGTTGCCCTTAAGTGATAATGGTCAGGATATCTGTAGGATTGAAACTGTCTAAATTCCATGTTGCCCTTCTGTGATAATGGTCAGGATATCTGTAGGATTGAAACTGTCTAAATTCCATGTTGCCCTTCAGTGATAATGGTCAGGATATCTGTAGGATTGAAACTGTCTAAATTCCATGTTGTCCTTCAGTGATAATGGTCAGGATATCTGTAGGATTGAAACTATCTAAATTCCATGTTGCCCTTCCATGATAATGGTCAGGATATCTGTAGGATTGAAACTGTCTAAATTCCATGTTGCCCTTCACTGATAATGGTCAGGATATCTGTAGGATTCAAACTATCTAAATTCCATGTTGCCCTTCCATGATAATGGTCAGGATATCTGTAGGATTGAAACTATCTAAATTCCATGTTGCCCTTAAGTGATAATGGTCAGGATATCTGTAGGATTGAAACTGTCTAAATTCCATGTTGCCCTTCAGTGATAATGGTCAGGATATCTGTAGGATTGAAACTATCTAAATTCCATGTTGCCCTTCAGTGATAATGGTCAGGATATCTGTAGGATTGAAACTATCTAAATTCCATGTTGCCCTTCAGTGATAATGGTCAGGATATCTGTAGGATTGAAACTATCTAAATTCCATGTTGCCCTTCAGTGATAATGGTCAGGATATCTGTAGGATTGAAACTGTCTAAATTCCATGTTGCCCTTCAGTGATAATGGTCAGGATATCTGTAGGATTGAAACTGTCTAAATTCCATGTTGCCCTTAAGTGACAATGGTCAGGATATCTGTAGGATTGAAACTATCTAAATTCCATGTTGCCCTTCACTGATAATGTTTTGTCCAAATCTTATTTAATTTGTACATTACATTTTTTACAAGGGAAGAAGTTATGGCCACACAGTGTATTCCATATAAAGGACCAACCTCACTCTCTCTACTGCCAGATACAGGCGATAGTAGTCAGCGATGTCAAACTCTCCTCCCGGCAGGCCTCCAAAGTCCAACTCCCTGGAATACAGATGACCAACTGTAGAAAATATGCACATAGTGAGGTGTGGTGAAGTTTGTAAGATGGTTTGGTTTCTGATTAAGCTCTCAGAGCAATATCCTCTGGATGAGATCTAATAAAGCTCTGTAACGACACGCATCTGGAAGTCATGTTTCAAAAAGACTCATCTCTGGAAGTACGGGAAGTCTTCTGACAAGACACACCTCTGGAAGTACGGGAAGTCTTCTGACAAGACTCACATCTGGAAGGCAAGGTTGTGTTCTGACAAGACTCACCTCTGGAAGGCAAGGTCGTGTTCTGACAAGACTCACCTCTGGAAGGCAAGGTCGTGTTCTGACAAGACTCATCTCTGGAAGGCAAGGTAGTGTTCTGACAAGACTCATCTCTGGAAGGCAAGGTTGTGTTCATCTTTCCAAGGCAAGAGAGTCAACTGACTTTGAAAATCCAGTTTCCACCCTTGCCGAACTAGGCTGGTATTATGGAGTTACATTTTGGCTGGACTAACGAGTCTATGCATAGTCCAATCAAAATCGTGCAACGAAATCGAAATCCAGTTTGTAAACTGTCGTGCAGATTTCAGTCAATTGCAGGATTTGCAAAGCATGTTCACCGCCAACTTGTTGTCAACAGATATTTTCCAAACCTTTTCATGTTTTTAATCAAGGTGCTCGCGTGATTTTATGCACTTTGCGATGTAAGATCCGTTTTATCACGATATAGATCCTTATTATCAATCACATCGTCTTGATTGGGCGCCGCCATTTTGTCTGAAACAAATACAAGTGATGGAATCGGATTGGCCCATAGGAGAGGCTTAGAAGGGACATAACTCATAATAACCACTGGCGGCACTACGATCGAGCCCAGGAATTCCAGCCTAATTCGGCAAGGGTGGAAACTGGACTTTTATAGTCAGTTAACTCTCTTGCCTCTGGAAGATGGGTTGTGTTCTGACAAGACACCTCTGGAAGGTAAGGTCGTGATTTGACGTGACTCACCTCTGAAAGTCGGGGATGTCTTCTGACGTGACTCACCTCTGAAAGTCGGGGAAGTCTTCTGATGTGACTCACCTCTGAAAGTCGGGGATGTCTTCTGAGGTCTCACCTCTGAAAGTTGGGGTTGTGTTCTGACGTGACTCACCTCTGGAAGTCAGGGTCGTGTTCTCTCAACATTGTCTCCAGTTCCTCGAGCTTCTCCTCCTCTGCCTCGGAGTCGCTGGTGTTCATCTCCGTGTTCTACACAACACACATCAGTACAGACACACAGCAAGGAAGGAGAAAGGCATCAAACAGGATCAAAAATCACCAAGAGAATTAGTTCACTTACAATGGATTCCCAGGAGAATTAATTCACTTACAATGGATCTCCAGGAGAATTAGTTCACTTACAATGGATCTCCAGAATTAGTTCACTTACAATGGATCTCCAGGAGAAATAGTTCACTTACAATGGATCTCCAGGAGAATCAGTTCACTTACAATGGATCTCCAGGAGAATTAGTTCACTTACAATGGATCTCCAGGAGAAATAGTTCACTTACAATGGATCTCCAGGAGAATTAGTTCACTTACAATGGATCTCCAGGAGAAATAGTTCACTTACAATGGATCTCCAGGAGAATTAGTTCACTTACAATGGATCTCCAGGAGAATCAGTTCACTTACAATGGATCTCCAGGAGAATCAGTTCACTTACAATGGATCTCCAGGAGAATTAGTTCACTTACAATGGATCTCCAGGAGAATCAGTTCACTTACAATGGATCTCCAGGAGAATCAGTTTACTTACAATGGATCTCCAGGAGAATTAGTTCACTTACAATGGATCTCCAGGAGAATCAGTTCACTTACAATGGATCTCCAGGAGAATTAGTTCACTTACAATGGACTTGTACACATCCCAATCAGCATCATTCTGGCCAAATGTGTCTTCCTTCTTCGATGACTTTACATCTGCCAATTCAGAATACAAAATCCCTTCACAACAACCCTAAAAAGAGTAATTATTCTATCTGCGACCTTAGTTCATAGACCTGATGACTATCAAGGTGGTATTCATGTAGGATATTTCAGCTGTTTCCATAACTAGAAAGTGTTCGGAAAGTGTTTCCTCAAGCCCCGGGAATGTATTCCTGTTATCATGCACTCCCAGTCTGACATGTTTGGTCCAGACAGTGACCCGCTTCTAGTTCTACAATACACCCTCATACCAGCTGTAAGGTTCCTTGCCTCTTGCCTAATGAGAAATCTAATGCACTTCCGGTCTAATGACATTACTGGCAGGCAGAGAAACCATATGGCCTTTAAGTCCCGTGCCTCCAGCTACTGTAGTAAGAAAGTGATATGCACTTTGAATCTACTGTATCACTTTCAGTATGTGAATACCATGCTAGCTGTACAACTTCAAGACAGAAAGTCTCATCCTTCCAGCTATCTTATTAACAAAGTTACATGCACTTCCAGTACAACGACCTTGACCCTCACCTTCAACCAAATACGGTATATTCCAGAAAATATCTATCTGCAAACATATAGATGCTCTTTCTCATACCCCATAAATGGTGGCTTCATTACTCAAAGGGGCACTGCTAATTCATGAGGCGTGGTCGGGTAGCCTAGTGGTTTAAGCGTTCGCTCGTCATGCCGAAGACCCAGGTTCGATTCCCGACATGGGTACATTGTGTGAAGCCCATTTCTGGTGTCCCCCGCCATGATATTGCTGGAATATTGCTAAAAGCGGCATAAAACCAAACTCACTCACTCACTCATGAAGGATCTTTTACAGTGACCTTGACCTCAATGAAGGTCAACCACTTAGATTCCCTATCCTGTGGATCTAAGTTTTGATGAACATGAATTATTTATGTGTATGAGACTTAGTATTCATAGCCCTTCTTGTTCTAATATTGCATCTGGTCCAGACTCGATTATTTACAGACCACCATCATATAGCTGGAATATTGCTGAGTGTGGCGCTAAACTAATAAACAAACAAATAAACTGACTCTGTGCAAGCTGGGAGATTATCTTCATCCGCTGCTGGGATGCGTATGTCCCCCGCTTGGCCATGTCAGTCTTCCTTTGTCTTCGGGATGTCCTCGCTTCAAGAATTTTCTAAAACAGTTGTACGACTGGTAAGTTGAAGATAGCAATCTTACAAACTCTGTAAACAGTCCAATATTATCAGAGGTAAATCTAGGACCAAGGTCCTACACCCAAAGTTGAATAGGAGGAATTAGTCATTTTCTTTGATTAAGAGGAGAGGGTTCCTTAGCATGTGAGCACTAACAATGACCTACTTTCATAAATTACTGTTTCACGAATTTGAAAACAAAGCAGTGAGATGCTCTGTAGAAAATTACTCTTTGAAACATTGAATTGTGACTGGACGATATTGTCAAAAACAAATCATAACAACATCTAATTGGCTGCGGCACAGTCGGGTAGCCTTGTGGCTAAAGCAGCCGCTAGTCATGCCGAAGACCCAGGTTCAATTCCCGACATGAGTACAATGTGTAAAGCCCATTTCTGGTGTCCCCCGCCGTGATATTGCTGGAATATTGCGTAAAGCGGTGTAAAACCATACTCACTCACTCTAATTGGCTTCTTTTATAACTTCCTTTACCTCATTCACGTTAATGTCTGATGTTCATATATTATGAAATTTATCGTAAAATACGTACTATTTTCTTCCAGTGTACAAGAGGTATGAAACCCCATGGAACATATCTCTGTCCATGACATATAAAGATGTCGCAACAAAGATGTCGTTTACCTCCAAATAATCAGACGGGCCCATGGATGGCCCAGTCATCTATGGCACCACAATTCACTGTGCAGTGTTGTGTGCCTTAGGTGTGCCAGGATCCTGTGATCGTGAGTTCAAATCATAGATTTGCCCTGATTCTGTGTCTTGGTTTGTAAGCACCACACCGCTTACCCATGCTCATGGGCTTCACCACATTGGTAAACGTTGACCTGCATCACTTTCCACACAAAATAATGTTTACTCTACCCCCATGTGTAGTGTAAGTAAGTATAGCTTTGCATACTATGGACTATTATAGCTAAAGCACGAAGATAGTCGCTTGACTGTATAAAAGAACGATGTTACCAAGGATATGTTAGATAACGGGGGGGGGTAATTTGAACTGCGCCATAACATCAGCCTATTATGACGTAACTCAAAGAGTGTACTTTATGGCAGGACAAAGTACGGTCAGTACCTTTGATCCTTTAGCGAAGCACTTAGAATCACACATCAAGCAGTACACCATGACATATATCTGGCGTAAAACCCAAACTTACTCCATCAACATCAGACCAGGAATCACTGAAGAAGGGCAGGCTATTGCATCATATATTGTCATAAGCTGCTGACACAGGGTAGGATTTTAATGTTTGAAATTTTGCCCACCAAGACCAAGTCAAATTCCAAGATGCTACGATTACATTACCTGTCTCTTTTTCCTGACTTCTGACAACCAGCCGTGAAAGTCAGCTTGACGCTTTACTTCCAGACGACGCTCTTCTTCCAACTCCTGCAAAGTTCACAGGTCATTGATAAATCCACTACACTACACACCTACTGTGTTGTCAGTTAGGGACTGGTCATTTATTACAGGGAGAGGGGCCGGTGATTGGTCATATTTTGCCTCCCACCCCACCCCATTTTTTTTTTATCTCCCACCCCCCTCCCCCCCCCCCCCCCAAAAATAATACATGTAACATTTCCCATGACCTCCCGATAATAAATTTTTTTTAAAATAGAACCATGTCATTTTTTCAAGGCCAGCTGTGTAGTTGTGATAACTTTGGGTGCCTCTCCCCTACCCATCCCACACACCCCAGTTCCCCGTTCCCTATAATAAATGACCACTCACTTTTAATATTAACATTCTCTTAAATATGGTAAATATTCAAGGCAAACTGTTTGTACAGATATGGCAAAATTCCATGCCATCAGATTACGTGGACACACACTCCACCTTGTCACACACTGTAACCACCCAATTCTCACTGTAGTCAGGTGTTGCAACAGCATCAATTGCTGGGTACCAATTGCGACTGTAATTTCCCACAGGGCTTATGTTACAACAGGGCAGAGAGGTCATGGTGGGGTAGCCAAGTAGTTCAGGTGTCTGCTTTTCCTGCCATAGTCCCGGGTTTGATTCCCCACATGGGTACAATGTGTGAAGCATATTTCTAGTGTTCCCCATGATATTGTTGGAATGATGCCTCGCTCACTTCTCAGGCTGGCAGCCATCAACTGTCCAAGCTCACTCTTTGACTCTGGGCTCCTCTGCAAGGAGTAACACTCACCTTCTGGCGTTTGGCTCTCTGCAGTGCCTGAGCTTTGAGTCGTCCTTCGCGTGCACTCTTCAGGATCCGCTGTCGTTTCTTGGCAGCCTGCTGCTCAGGGCCGAGCATCTCGTCTGGGATGTCCAGCAGGTCAAACACTGGCTCCTTCACCTGGGGAAGACTTTCGTATCATCAAACTTGTTCGCAGAATTGGACAAATATGCCTTTTTGTTCTTTCTATAATAAATCTAATTTCTGATAAACAATGGGAGGAATTTTGATCTAAGAATCCAAAATGTGAATCTACTGTTCGTACAGAATTTCACAAAATTTCAAGATCTTTTCGAGGCTTCTTCCCAAAAAATCAAGGCCAAGTCAAATAGCTAAAAAAAATTACTGACATTTGCTGCAGACTTTGGGCTGAATATTGGCCTCAGAGCAGGCTGAGATAAACCCTGTCTAACCCAGGAGCTAGCAACCATGACAACCAGAAGCAAGAGGTACGCGTGATCCGATTACAAACCTCTTGAGGCTCTTCAGGAGGGAGTTCTACACCCAGTATTTTAGCTTTGGCTCTCTGTATACTGACGGTCAGCTTGTTGACCGTGTCCTGCAGCTCTTCAGCCGACTTGAAGCCCACGTTGTACAGGGCTTTCTGTACAGGGAAAATGAAGGTCAATACAATAGGGGTAACATTAAGTCTGCAATGATTCATCAAAGCATCAGTGGTTTTGTTCATAATACAAATATTGTGCACAACGCATGTGATACCATACTAAAGAATATATGAAATGATATGGTACGAAAAGGAATTGGAACGTCTTAAGACTCTTAAAATTATGCATCTTCCCGAGGCAAGGGAGATAACTGACTATAAAAGATCCGTTTCCACCAACACAATTATAGGGTTATATATTCTAATAATGGAGTGATATATTGGCTGGACTAACGAGTCTATGCATAGACCAATCAAAATCACGTAACAAAATCGACATATGGTTCGTTAACAGCCTCGCAGATTTCAGTCGATTGCAGAATTTGTAAAGCATGTGTACCACCAACTCGGCGTCAACAGATATTTTCCAAATCTTTTTATGTTTTTAATCAAGGTGCTCATGTGATTTGATGCACTTCAGGAAGTAAGACCTGTTTGAACACAATATAGATTTTGATTATCGATCAAATTGTCTTGACTGGGCACCGCCATTTTGTTTGAAGCAAATGCAAGTGATATGAGAGTATGAGAGTTGGAGCATGATTGTCCATAGGAGTGTCATAGAAGGGACATAACTCGAAATAGCCACTGGTGGGGCTAAGATCGAACCTTGTTCAGCAAGGGTGGAAACTGGACTTTTACAGTCAGTTGACTCCCTTGCCTTGGAAGATAAAAATGATATAATACAATATTTGTTACTTTCATTTCCTGGATAATGTAGCATTGGTTCTTAACATCAGTTCTTATTGTATGAAAAGTTTTTAAAAAAGTATTTATGGAAAAAACATCTTGTTGTTTGTCACAACATATTGCGGTAACACGGGTGGCCAAGTGGGCTGCAGCAATTGACCGTGTAGAGTTGTGTCCCTTGAGCACACCAGAAACCTATGACTGTGCATTTGAATCCTGGTTCGCCCTAATTATATTTCTAGGTTTGTCAGCACCATACCTGTGCTTGTAGGTTTCACTTCCGGCTTTTGTCCAATATTAAGTTGACACGCTGGATCTACCTGGAATAGTGTTCAAAGCGGCGAGAAACCCAGCCCCCTCATTCACAACATGTAGCATAGAAACCCTTGTGATAAGGCATCCTGTTGTATCTTAAACTACCAGCAGGACAACATGCCGTACTGACCGTGAATGTGTCCTCATCTCCATCCACCAGCAACTCCTGGACACTCATCAGCTGCCGCAGTCTCTCTTCCTCCACCTCCAGCTGGGGAGGACAAAGTAAAAGCCTGGTCAACTCTCCTCAACAATGGGTTTGAGAGGGTGTAGAAATTGACAGCACAATCAACTCTCTTGGTCAGTGCGCCAAATCTGACATGCACACTTAAATGCATCCTCGATTAACCAGGGTATCCTACTGCATTCTATTTCAGAAATAACTGACAAGTGAGAGTTGTTTATCCTACAATAAAACACTGCAGGGAGTAGAAACCATGAGGGGCACAGCCCCATGTGATCAGATATCAACATTTTGTACAGCCTTTTTAAGGATGTCAATAAATTGTTCAGGCTTTAAAAACATTTACCCGTGTTTAAAATAATGATGACTCCCTGTATACAATCGGACCTCGGCAATGTCGGACAACTTCATTTTACGTACAAGGGGGTAAGTTTGGTATGCTCACAATTTTTACGTCTATTATGTCCACCCTTTCTCCCAATACTGATTGTCATATCTCTCCAACTTTTGGGTGCGAACTTTCGGCCATAGCATTCATCTGCGCTGTCCAGCTTCATCTATGGGGAACAACTCACTAGACACTCCCTTCATCTTCATCTTCCTTGGCTCAAAAACCAATGCATGCTTTATTTTGATTCAGCAGTCAAAGATCAAAGTATTCACCTGATGTGGTCGTTGTTTGCCAGACCTTGGACTTATATAGTGACGTGCATGTACTAGTCTGGACTGATGCCAAGTTTGTGATGCCGGCCCACAGATATACCATTCTCCTTTTTAACATGAATACCCCACTCAGACACAGCATACTTACTCCGGGCCAACCAGTCCTTGTTCTAATGCCGAGCGCGAGGCAGGGTAACAACAAATACAATATTTTAACATCTTTTGGTATGACGTGGTCGGGGATCGAACCCCAGACTTTCCACTCTCCAGGCGGACGCTCTACCTCTAGACCACTGAGCTGATGGAGTAACAGATCTTAATGAGCTTGGGGACTGACACAGGATGATGTCGTTATTTTAAAACACTAAAGGGGATGGGGTTTGCACTTCCCCTATACTCCTGGTGATTCCATGCAAATACTTATGTCGTCAAGCATACAAGGTCAGCAAACACCCCAGATTGTTCATCCTCCCTGAATACCGCCTCCGTGGTCCATTGGTAGAGTTTCCGCCCAGAGAGCGGAAGGTCCGGGGTTCGATCCCCGACCGCGTCATACCAAAAGACGTTAAAATGGTACTTGTTGTTACCCTGTCTGGCGCTCGGCATTAAGGGGCTAAAACAAGGACTGGTCAGCTCGGAGTCAGTATACTGTGTCTGAGTGGGGTATTCATGTTAAACTGCGGCATGGTATCTCAGTGAGCAAGCACTATAAATCGGCATCAGTCCGGACTAGTACAAGCAGCCACACACACACACACACGTACATGCACGTCGCTATATAAGTGCAATAATCTTGGACGCGACGTTACACCCCATTTCACCTCACCTCACCTCATCCTCCCTGAAAACCCAGGTCTCACCTTCTCCAGGCGACGTTTAGAGTTGACTTCCTTCAGACGCTGGATTTGCTGCTCCCTTCTTTCTCGCTGCTGATCCGGGGTCAGCTGACTGCCGCCACTAACCTGGAGGTCACATGCAAGGGGAGATAACTCTATTATAATAGCACATAGTGTATAACTCCCACCTGGATATCTCACACAAGGGGATATAACCGTGATAAAAGCAAGTAGCATACAAGTCTCACCTGGAGGTCACATGAACAGGGCGTTAACTCTGTTATAATAGCACGTAGTGTATAACTCCCACCTGGATATCACACACAAGGGGATATAACTGTGATAAAAGCAAGTAGCGTACAAGTCTTACCTGGAGGTCACATGAACGGGCAGTTAACTCTATTATAGCAGCACGTAGTGAATAACTCTTGAAATTTGCCCTCTAACCCCAAATATAGTAACGTCCAGTCATGTCACTGATCTCCCCTGTCAAGGTGTACCTCCAAGCTCCTTCGCAGCGCATGACACCTTCGTTGCACTCTCGATAACACCGCTACCACCAGTGTGGGTGCAGCCATTACAAGAATCTTGAAAATTGTAACGTTGCAAATATAGTAACGTTTATACTTTGTTTATGTCTTTGGGAATGCCATCATTGTGAATTTTGAAAAGGTTTACGACTGACCATGTTTTCCAGGTGAATTTACATTTTTGTTTGTATAATCAGATTGGTTCAAGATTGCAGACTAACGGAAAATCACTTAACTTCCCCGTTACATTCTTATTATACCAGTTACATGATAGTTGGAATAAAGCAGAAATTCAGATTCACAAACAATGAAAATAATTAAGCTAGGGTAAGAGTATTCAGCGTCACGGCAGTCATCACTTGTTTGTGACAGCGACAGTATAGAGAGCTTCACGAATGGGTCGTCGCTGTGAGGAGCTTGGGAGATCATACACAAGGGGAGATAACTCAGTTATAACAGCAGTTGGTAAGAAAGAAATGTTAAGTAAATGGCTATCTGATAATACTACTGAGCAATGTTGATGTCAACTATTGCTAACATCATCGCTTTGTCACAATCAGGGCATGGACAATTGCATTGCATCAATCAGTCGATGTACCGTCCATCTTTCGGACATAGTGTTTGTTTTATGAATACATATTTTTTGTTTACCACCTGACATGGGTAGGTTAAAAAAAAGATAAAAAAAATGTTTTGGCAGCTTTATATTTTTTTATATATGACATAAATCTGTTTGTGGCAGTCAGTTTATTGGGTAAAATAAAGTGGGAAATTAGGAAACAGTAGTTGGCTAGTTTGTTTGTTTACTGTTTTACGCCGCAATATTCCAGCTATATGACTGCGGTCTGTAAATAATCAAGTCTTGACCAGACAATCCAGTGAATGATGTTATGAGCATCGATCCACGTAATTGGGATACGATGACATGCATCAACCAAGTCAGAGAGCCTGACCACCCGATTCCCATTAGTCGCCTCTTACGACAAGCATAGTCGCCCTTTACGGCAAGCCTGGGTTGCTGAAGACCTGTTCTACCCCAGATCGACGGGTCAGTCGGCTAGTGGATGTGGCTTAATTTTGTTTTGTTTTATGGGAACATAAGGGGGGAAAAAGAATTTGTTGGTTAGCCAATCAAATGCCCAAGAATCATTTGCAATTTACTTTTAATTATAAGCATGTTACAATCAAAAGTTGCAATGTTGGAACAATTACTTGAATTAACATGAATGTGAGAAAGAGACTATATCAGAAAATGTACAAACAAGTTTCACTGATTAAAATCACTAGGACATGTATAAATAAAATTTTCTTTCATCACATAAATAAGAACATTTCTAATTCTGAATGACCCAAATTCCGATATCCCAGCTTATGTGGTAATCCCAGCTTTGACACAATGGACACAATTATTCATAATTATGTAACCCCTTAAACCAACAAGAGGAAATTTGCTGGGGACCATCTCAAAAATCTTTTGTAACCAAATCTCAAAAACAAATTGTCGGAAAATAAAATTATGTCATAATGCTAGTTTTAATTATGGAAAGCAAATCTGTAATATATAGATTGGAACAGTATACTCCAGATCATCAAATTTCTATTTTATCAAATGAAACAAAGTTGAATTAAAACTGTTATGACACAATCCCTGTACCAGTCTGACCAATGGGGAGTGTTCTTCAGTGAAGCGTAGATAAATCCCTAAGCTGTGCTACAAACATCAGCTGCCAGACAATTCCTGTTGCAGTACTACACAGACATTACTCAGCAGTAGTGAACAGGGACACAGCAAAATGCTGCTTTTATTTAAAAAAATGAGGTAAGGCTTTTTTCTCTCAAAGTACTCTTTAACAAAACCTAAGGATAGGTGGTCAAAATAACCAAATAAATTAAGGGTGTTTGCTAGTTTGCACTGAGAGTATTTTCTAACCTTTCATAGATATGTGTGTTTCAAATTAAAATGATTGAAACTAGCTGTCCAAAAGCAAATATAAAATCGGTTTCTCAGTATCACACTATGTGAGTTGCAGCTAATCAATGCTTATGAATTACAGCATCAAATTCACACCATAAACATGATATAAAAAAATCACTAACCGAGTTAACTGTTTCGAATTAAATCAAAAGTAATACTTTAATATTATTGCACTTTTAAAATGATATTTGAACCACATATGGTTAAACATTTATAAATAAATATGACAAAAAACATTCTAATTTTTATGCATTTTAGTGTACTAATATTTCAGCAAATGATTAATGTGACCGTTAACCTTCTAGCGCATGATAGGCAATCTGGTTTGTATACTCCCAAGGGAGCTGAGAATGAAATTGAGTACACACTGATCCACCGACCAGGGTAATTACAGTGCAGCGCTTTGTGCATGCACCTCGGTGGTGTGGCAATATAGCGCAATATAAATGGCCTAAGACATTCATTTACACCATTTCATATTAGTGAAGGACTTCAATATGCCATTAGAACACACTATACCATGATAAGTACTATACACAACATTCAGCAATCAATATATAAAAAGCTTTATACAGATATGTAACGCTAAAATTCAAGGCTTTTCAAGGTTGACAATAACAATCAAGGAGTTTCAAGAGAGACCTTATAATTCAAGGCTTTTTCAAGCCTGTACAAACCCTGTAAACAAATGGTCGTTTCCTCACCAGCATGGTCAGGGCAATGTTTGCTATGGTTTAAGAAATAAACGATGTGTGGGAGTTTATTGTATGATAAACAACGACTATGAGTCGTATATTTCTTATATGAGATATCAACCATATGTTTGTTTGTTTGTTGTTGAACGCCGCACTCAGCAATATTCTAGCTGTATGATGGTGGTCTGTAAATAATCGAGCCTGGACCAGACAATCCATTGATTGACATCATGAGCATCGATCCACGCAATTGGGATAAACCAAGTCAGCGAGCCTGACCAATCGATCCCGTTAGTCGAATCTTACGACAAGCATAGTCGCCTTTTACGGATCTTCACGGATCAAGATTATGTACAGCCTCTTTAAGGATGATGATAAAGTGTACAAGCTTTAAACATATTTACCCGTTTTTAAATAATGATGACTCCCTCAATAGAATCTGACCTCGGCAATGTCGGACAAGTCCTTTTTATACACTAGTGGGTATTTCCCGCATATTTTCACAATCCTCACATCGTCAAGTCATCAAGTTGTGATCATATGTTCAAATCTGACGTCATGATAGAACAATGTTTTATCGTGAAATAAACCACACTTCATTCTTTGACGTTATTTGGGATTTATCGCATGGCTATCTTATATAGCCCCATAAACAAGTAATATTCAGCTGAGGTCCATGGGAGGGGCTGAATTCCAACTTCTCACAAAAGAATGGTCAACTGTACTCTGTTGTGATTAGTTCTTCCCAACACAGTGTCACGTTAAGTGTCAAACACATCCCGGGACTCACGTTAAGTGTCAAACACTTCCCAAGACTCACGTCAAGTGTCACACACATCCTGAGTCTCACATTGAGTGTCACACATCCTGAGACTCACGTTAAGTGTCACACACATCCCCAGACTTACGTTAAGAGTCACACATCCTGAGACTCACGTTAAGTGTCACATATGTCCTGAGACTCACGTTAAGTGTCACACACATCCTGAGACTCACGTTAAGTGTCACATACGTCCTGAGACTCACATTAAGTGTCACACACATCCTGAGACTCACGTTAAGTGTCACATATGTCCTGAGACTCACTTTAAGTGTCACACACATCCCCAGACTCACGTTAAGTGTCACATATGTCCTGAGACTCACATTAAGTGTCACACACATCCCCAGACTTACATTAAGTGTCACACATCCTGAGACTCACGTTAAGTGTCACATACGTCCTGAGACTCACGTTAAGTGTCACATATGTCCTGAGACTCACGTTAAGTGTCACACACAACCTGAGACTCACGTTAAGTGTCACACACATCCCCAGACTTACGTTAAGAGTCACACATCCTGAGACTCACGTTAAGTGTCACATATGTCCTGAGACTCACGTTAAGTGTCACACACATCCTGAGACTCACGTTAAGTGTCACATACGTCCTGAGACTCACATTAAGTGTCACACACATCCTGAGACTCACGTTAAGTGTCACATATGTCCTGAGACTCACTTTAAGTGTCACACACATCCCCAGACTCACGTTAAGTGTCACATATGTCCTGAGACTCACATTAAGTGTCACACACATCCCCAGACTTACATTAAGTGTCACACATCCTGAGACTCACGTTAAGTGTCACATACGTCCTGAGACTCACGTTAAGTGTCACATACGTCCTGAGACTCACTTTAAGTGTCACACACATCCTGAGACTCACATTAAGTGTCACATACGTCCTGAGACTCACGTTAAGTGTCACACACATCCTGAGACTGACGTTAAGTGTCACATATGTCCTGAGACTCACGTTAAGTGTCACACACATCCTGAGACTCACATTGGTGTACGGCAGCTGTATCTTGTGTGCGTTGTTCTCAAAGTAATCTCCGTCCAGCCACTGATGCAGGTTGTCAGCGTAGTCGGTGGCCAGGTAGGCGTGATCTCGTACCAGCTCCTGGAACACATGTTAGAATAGATGGTTTCACCAGATGGAATAAATGATTTCACTAGATGGAATAGACCATTTCATCAGATGGTATCTATACTTCAGCTCTATCCATTCTTCAGCTCTATCTATACTTCAGCTCTATCTATGCAGCTCTATCCATATTTCAGCTCTATCTATACTTCAGCTCTATCTATGCAGCTCTATCCATACTTCAGCTCTATCTATACTTCAGCTCTATCAATAATTCAGCTCTATCTATACTTCAGCTAAATCCACACTTCAGCTCTATCCATACTTCAGCTCTACCTATACTTCAGGTCTATCCATACTTCAGCTCTATCTATACTTCAGCTCTATCAATAATTCAGCTAAATCTATACTTCAGCTCTATCCATACTTCAGCTCTATCTATACTTCAGCGCTATCTATACTTCAGCTCTATATATACTTCAGCTAAATCTATACTTCAGCGCTATCTATACTTCAGCTCTACCTATACTTCAGCTCTACCTATACTTCAGCTCTATCCATACTTCAGCTCTATCTATACTTCAGCTCTATCAATAATTCAGCTAAATCTATACTTCAGCTCTATCCATACTTCAGCTCTATCTATACTTCAGCACTATCTATACTTCAGCTCTATATATACTTCAGCTTTATCTATACTTCAGCTCTATATATACTTCAGCTAAATCTATACTTCAGCTCTATACTTCAGCTCTACCTATACTTCAGCTCTACCTATGCAGCTCTATGCTTAGCTTTATCTATACTTCAGCTCTATCTATACTTCAGCTCTATCTATACTTCTGCTCTATCTATACTACAGCACTATCCATGCAGCTCTATGCTTAGCTTTATCTATATTTCAGTTTCTGCAATAATTCATGCTTCTGCAATAATAGTGACGTTATAGAAATCAACTTAGAATGTCTACAAGCCCAAATTGTGATATAGGAAAACACCCCAAAATAATTAAATATTATGAGCCTTAGGACTTCTAAATCAGTTTTAACATCAGGAAAATTGGCTTCTTTTCTACACTCTCTACAAGGCCTACCTCAGCCCAGCTCAGAGTGACAGCTGCCTGGTGGCCGGGGTACTAACTACAGCTGAACTATTCTATTCTACACTCTCTACAAGGCCCACCTCAGCCCGGCTCAGAGTGACAGCTGCCAGGTGGCCGGGGTACTTCAGCTGAACTATTCTACACTCTCTACAAGGCCTACCTCAGCCCGGCTCAGAGTGACAGCTGCCTGGTGGCCGGGGTACTAACTACAGCTGAACTATTCTATTCTACACTCTCTACAAGGCCCACCTCAGCCCGGCTCAGAGTGACAGCTGCCAGGTGGCCGGGGTACTTCAGCTGTAACAGCCTCATGAGGAAGGAGTCAACATGCACGCCCCCCAAGTTCATACGCCGACCGTTGACCGAGTCCAAGCGGCCATTCAGGACGGGCAGAATGTGTGTGGCCTGGTAGCCACAGTCAACAATGAGAGAGTTCATCCAGTCTGAAATAACAACCATCATATAAGCACTGGTAAAAAAAACATGTTTGGGGATGTACACCAGTCTGTATACAGAGTACTTAACATTTCTGAGACAGGTATTGAAAAATCTAGATGACTTTATCTAACTTTAAAATTGAAAACGAACTGGGATAGAGTGCATTCTAATGACTATTAACTACTGCACCAAATTCAATCTTTACTATAAAGTTTACTTTACAGTTTTGCATAACCAGATAACAGTATTATTAGCATGAACTCACAATGCCATTTAGAAAGTGGTCAAATGTAACACATGTTTTATTTGGGATAACACTTTCTCAGTTAAGTACAGATTCTCCTACATTGTTTGAGTTGAGTCCCGTCCGGGATTCGAACCCACACTGCCAGAGTGAGGCACCTAATCGTTATTAGTCAACACAAAGTCAACGATCTAACCCACTCAACCACCGAGGCTTCCACAAAATGAATGTCTGACAACTGGTAGTCTAGATCACATACTTTGTGTACCCCTCTGACAAGTGTAGATGGGACTCAACCCAAAGTACAAGAATCTGTACTTTACTCAGAAAGTGTTATCCCAAATATAACATTTGTTACAGTATTACTAGCAGTATGTTGTTATGGGACAGCCGACATGTCATAGTTCCAGCTGCACAGTGAACACAAATACATACTACCAGACATCTTAACCCTAACCAAAGTTTGGGAGTCATCATGCCTAAAATGGGGAATTGAAGTTGTTTAAAAAAGAAATTGTCAAACTTAATATATCCAATTAACGTGGTAAACATTGCACCAAGCCAAATAGCACAGGGGTTTTCAAACTTGGGGTTGAGAAAAAATAGAAACATATTCATATGCAGTGAAAAGTCTTAAATATTTCAGGATCCAATCCCAACAGCGTTTGTCAATTAATTAGACTGCAGCGCACATTCCATTTTATTTTACAATGTAGATTCAGTTAACACCCATCTTCCCAACAAGGGCGTTAACTGACAATAAAATTCCTGTTTCCACCCTTACCAAACTGGGCTCAAATTTTTCAGGGCTGATCGTAGCGCCACCAGTGACTATTACAAGTTATGTACCTCCTATTGACCAATCAGATTCCATCTCTTATATTACTTGCAACTGTGTCAAACAAAATGGCGGCACCCAGTCAAGACGATCTGATCGATAATCAAGATCTATATTGTAATAAGACATGCCTTACCTCGAGAAGTGTATCCAATTATTTGAGCACCTTGATAAAAAACATGATAAGATTTGCACAATATCTGTCAATGACCAGTTGACAGTACACATGCAGTGCAAATCCTTCAGTTGACCAAAATCTGCACATTGCCTGGTTCGGCAAGGGTGGAAACTGAACTTTAATTGTCAGTAACGCCCTTGCCTCAAGAAGATGGTTGGCACCTGGCCCACTACTGCTTACTTGCACTACCTGTGTGTGGCTTGTTTTTGTAGAGACTGAAGAGCGAGTCAATGCCGTACGCCACTTGGGGAACATGGTAACACTCAAACATCAGCTCCGACATCTCTGATAAAGAAAAAATACAGTCTTCATCTGTCATATTACCCATAAAGTAAAATAATTAAGGCTTAAAAAAATATTAAAAAATCATTTTTTTTTGGGGGGGGGTGTGTCTTCAAGCTAGTATGTAACCAAATGTTGCTTACAATAATTTTGTTCAAGCTAGTATGTAACCAAATGTTGCTTACAATAATTACGGTGAAATCATGTTGTTCTTAAGTATTGTAGCATTTCACTGTCAGGGTTGTGTGTTCGAGACGCGGGTAATTAAAGATTTGTTTATGTTTTTAATGGAAATAACAATGAAACATGCAGCGGACTTTATGATGATATGGGCAGTGCCTGAGAACCAAGCCAAATATTTTTTTTAGCCTAATTATTACATTTTCATTCTGCTCAACTCTACCAAACACTGTGTCTAGTATAACTTGTGGGTAGTGTACTCACGCTGTCTGCAGTAGTTTGGGTTACACACAGGCTCCGTCAGGACAATCGGGTGATCCACTTTACCCTCCGTATTGATGCCCAGATGGGTGAATATATAGTCAAATATCTGCTCCTACAAGACAAACATTCTGTCTAAGACATCTGGGTATAGAAGGATCTTATCAAAGGCAACTATCCACCAAGGCACTGGCTATATTTCACACGGGAGGTCGGCAAACTAATGCACAAATATTACTGACCCTCTCTAAAAGACATGTCCTTAAGTTACTGCGTTTGCTGTGTACATACAGACATACATTGTAAACAAACAAGCATACACAACAATGTGCTTGCTGTGTCTACATCTTAGCATATATTTAAGGCAGTACAAAGGCAGTAGGTTTGCAGCAAAATACAAAATACAAACAAAGTATAATTTTATTTTTCCTTCCCTAAAGACAGTCATGTCTTTTCATGATGACAATCTCCTAATCCCCCATCCCCAGGCCTATAGGAATATCGAATTCAGGGCCCGAAGTTAAAAACAAATATCAGATGTGCCTAAGGGCAATGGCCCTGTTTTTCAATTTAGGTGTGCTTTGCCTTTTCTACCCAATTATTATAACAAATAGCGATCGTCGGCTAGCTTTTTCAAACAGTCAACACGAATGAGCACTTCCATTTTGAAAAGCAAGACCTACATGATATTCCATCAAAATACGGAAAGACACGATTACATTCAAATGTATTTCATGCAATCTTGAACATCTCGTCTGAAATACATGGTCAACAGAAACCCCCAAATAATGCCAATTGATTTAATAACAGGAAGTCTTTAGTGACAGTGGAACATGCAACTAATAGAGAAAACTTTTCATTTCACAGTTTAATTTTGTCAAGACATGAAATAAAAATTAACGTAAGTACTTTTAATGAAAATGACCGTGCTTATGAGGCATTGTACATAAAATTCAAGCGTGTTATTTCCTATTATATGTGTGTTGCAGGAACAGCAGCACTAATAATTTCGAGCCCTGAATATGTTTAGATTTCTACTGATATTTATCGTAGGTATAGCAGTGTATAGTGTGGCCTCACTAAATGCATGAATGCTTGTCATTACTGAGTGAGTAAATAATTCTTAACACAATGGATATATTATTATAAAGAAAAAATAGAATGCTTTTGAATGTAGTCTTTTCAGGGAGAGTCGTGAAAAACATGTATGAGGACATGGGGTGACATCCAAAAATATGACAAGCATTTGGGAAGGGTCATTTTTTTCAGCATAATTCATTAAATTGACCCACCCACCCCTGTGATAAATGACCGGTCCCTAAAATGATTTGATGACAACTTCTGTTGTCATTCCTTTTTAAAGTTTTGGAAGCATGATTACAAGCTGATCATTAACGCAGAGCATGAAAGAAATTACCTGAACATCATAGAGTGTGACCACGTTTCTGTCAAACTGTGTTCGCAGAATCCAGCGGACAACCTCAATGTTGCTGATATCATTTCCTATCTGTAAGTCAGACTCCTAGAAAAAGAAAACATTTGAATGTGGAACCATTCATCATATCGAGCATCATCTCCATTTGTTGTGTAACACTGCACTCAGCAGTATTTCAGCCAGACAAACCAGTGGTTGATGTTACAAACAACATCTCATGTCGATGAAATATGATGACATGCTTGTTTAACACTGCACTCAGCCACAAACCAGTGGTTGATATGATGAGCATCATCTCATATCAATTAGATATGATGACATGCTTGCTTAACACTGCACTCAGCCACACAAACCAGTGGTTGATACGACGAGCATGATTTCATATCAATTAGATACGATGACATGCCTATTTAACACTGCACTAAGAAATATTTCAGGTAAATCAGGGTGGCAAGTAAATATTTAAGTCTGGGCCACACAAACTAGTTGATATTAAGAGCAACAGCCCACATCTTCCTCCTGCATCATTCCTGGATTTTAATACTGATACAATGTAATGACCTCACACATACCCAACCTTGGAATCCACACAATAACAGGGATCAGTGGACTAGTTCAGGTGCCACAATTCACTGTGCAGCAGGGCATGCTTTTGGCATGTCAGAAACCTTTGACCCTGTTTCGAATCACTTTGGTTGGTTGGTTTGTTGTTTAACGCCGCACTCAGCAATATTCCAGCTATATGATGGCGGTCTGTAAATAATCGAGTCTGGACCAGACAATCCAGTGATTGACAGCATGAGCATCGATCCACGCAATTGGGATCGATGACATGTATCAACCAAGTCAGTGAGCCTGACCACCCGATCCCGTTAGTCGCCTTTTACGACAAGCATAGTTGCCTTTTCCGACAAGCAAAATCGCCTTTTACGACAAGCAAAATAGCCTATTACGGCAAGTATGGGTTGCTGAAGACCTATTCTACCCTGGAATCTTCACGGGTCATTTCGAATCACTGTTTCAGCCTGATATGATTCTTGGTTTGGGGGGGGTCCCTCCTACATGAATCAATGTTTTAGACAATAACCTCAAAGAGGACCTTCACCTTGACCTTTGACAGACAGGCCTTTGACATTTGATGTAGTTTGACAATGCTACAACAATGTTTTAATAAAACCCTAACTCTGACCTTGAACTTTGACTAAAGTTTCAAAGCAGGGCCTCATCCTTGTATATAGGGAGATTAATGATAAAAAACAGCTGAAAATAATCTTCAAACATTGCAGTAATCAATGTCAATCACAGACCTCCAGATAACTTTTTGAGCAATTGAGTTTTTACTCTAGGGTTTCGATTTTAATTGGGTTATTACATTTTTCATTGGGTAACCAATATGTTTTCACTCATCTATTCATTACTCAATTGTTTTTTTCCAAACATAAGTGAACATTCTAAGATTCAAAAAAAATGAAATTATGTTTTCGATGTTTATAACCATTGATAACTGTTCTAAATATATAGGCTTGACTCGAAAAGTAAATTAGCCCATAATTGTGTTTTGGAAGTTAGCTCCTTTGTACGCATGCTGAAAAAGCTTCATTGGTTGTATTTACGCGTGCTGTTTTTATGCATTTGAGTTTTCATTTAATGCATGTGTATCTGTATGCAAGTTAATTGAAACTAATCAGTTTTGAATATTTGTGGGGTATTTTATGCAAATACGCAGCTTATCTGTAGGTCTGTAATTATCGTGTTAAAAATGGTCAGTATTATTACAATCAAGGATGGAGACAGATGGATGCTGAGTTTGACAATACACTAAGACAGCCAAGACATGAAATTGATAGGATAACCCACTCAGCCTGCTGTGACCTGTATATGTTAACTAACTATGACAGGAAGACCTTGAAATGGGTTCGATGATACACTAAGACAGCCATGTCATAAAATGGGTTCGATGATACACTAAGACAGCCATGTCATAAAATGGGTTCGATGATACACAAAGACAGCTAGGCTGTGGATTGGATACAATGACCAAAAACAATCTCATTTGATGTTAAAAAAAAGCAATGTCAAGTGAAACAAACGCACCTTCTTTCCTCGCTGTTTTGCTGTAATATTTTTAAATGTCAGAAGGGGCTTCTCTTTACTGGCCCATCCTGCTCGACACTGATAAGTTCCTGAAAACACATCAGAATTTTATTATCCATGAATCGACATGACTGCTGTTTAGTGGTGGGACGATACATCATTGCATCGGTGGATCACGATTTTTTACTTCTCAATACAAATATCAATCACAGTCACACACTAAGTAAAAAATATTGATTCTGACCTTAAATGTTTGATTTAATAACTCTTCCACTAAACACTAATCAGTAGTGCAAGTTAATAGTGAAAACAAATATTTTAATTTGCTGTGCCATGTTTCACACTACCAACTGTAAATCATCAGTGTGACAGGTATTTGGCCATCCTGTCTATGAAAATGATGGCTTACGCACGACTGATAAGAAACCATGTAAGTATCGTGATACATATTGGATTGTGAGTAAGGTATCGTGATACGCATCAGATCACACAGTTGGTGTATTGTCCCAGCCCTACTGCTGTTAGTGTTAAGGCACATCAGGTTGTTTGGGTGCCCTTGTCCAAAGCTTTCCCTTGTTATCCCAACCCCTGCCTGTAATGCCAAATGGCCACAGAATGTGCACATACACCTCAGGTCAGCTACCCAGTACTGTTCTGAAACTCAAACAAATATTTAACAGTGCAAGGTCTATCAACAGATACTGCAGTCAACAATATCACTGATAAATTATGATGGCTTGTTTATAAGAAAAGTTCAGCCATTCAAACCAGTGGTTGATAGCATGACACACAGAAAATATAACATCATAATTCCAAACACGTTCGCAAGGGTGGAAACTGGACTTTTATAGTCAGTTAACACCCTTGCCTCAGGAAGATGGACAAAACCAGTGGTTGATGGCATGACACATTCAGCAAGACGAATCAGAGGTTGAAAACAAAACACAAATTCAGCCCGATCAGATATATTCTTACCACCAGATCTTCATTTTGGTCAGCTCTTATGACTGAGTGAGTATGGTTTAATACCATTCTGAACAGTACTTCAGTTATATCATGGCATGTCACTCAGTGTGATGTGAAATCATGACCACAGGTTCCTGGAATGCCTAAAGGGGCATTCACAAGGTACAACTAGTTATATACAATTTATTGCATGCAACACATTGCATCGTGTGAACAGGCAAGTCAGGCCAACTATTGACATATGCAAGGGCATGCTTATTTTAATGCGACAAGCTGTGTACACGCAGCCAATCATAATGTGTATGAAATTCATGTGACATTTACACGTCAAATTATAAACGAAAATGGCGATCTGATTCACGGCGGTAACTTCTGCTTTTCGATATCCTAATTGTGCTGTGTGAATTATCCCTAAGACAAGCAATTCTCCACAGTGAATTGCAGTGCCTTAGATGACAGGCCACTCGTGTCCCCTTACTTTAGACTTATGACATTTACAACCTCCATACCATTATCAATGACAAGTGGTACTTTCCCGTCTCTCAGCGAATCTGAATACTCATGCACTGGATCAGGCACTGGTTTTTCATCCTTGAAAGAAAACAGATTGGGCACAGACATTTTCTGAAACAAAAGAAATAGATTTTCAGCATGTTTAGTTGAATCTTTTACAAATAGATCTACAATCTACTTACCGATTGCAAGTCAGCATGTAGTCAAAAGCAGAAAATTCAAATATTATCTTCTTAGATATTTAGCATACAGTACCAATTAGATCCTATAGGGTCACAGGGTGTGTTTGCTTGGCAAGTGGTGCCCAACCCTAGTGATTCTAAATGGATGCTTGATTGGAAAGGGGAACCAAGAGCTAACCAAGAGCTAAAGATGGAGTTAAAGGGGCACTGATCTAACGCAATTCCCCGGACTGGTTGTTGCCTTTGTTATTGTTTTTTCCCCCATGAGTACCCGGATGATACGCAACGCAACTGAGCGTGACCAGAGACTGGGCTACCGTCTGCAAGGACAGCTAAATAAACTTGGAGGCTGGAGGCAATATTTGTTTTACGCATTTTTGCATAAACACTGATTGGTTAACTGTGATCTATACAGATTTCGACAAAGGGCGCATGTTAATTAATTTCTTCAGCCTAAACAAACAGACAAAAAGAACAGCGGAGCTCATCATATGTCGTCATTTGGAAATACCCCAGATGGTTATAGTTTTATACTAAAAAAAGTATCCATGCAGTGAAAGCATTTTCGGATTTCGGCTTGCGTCGATAATACGATTACTACTCCCTTGTTGACATCCACGTTTTTTCGTATAACCTTTCACTTGTGTATTTGTCGTCATTCACTTGATGCTCAGTTAATCAATTTATTACAGGTACAATTAGTGTAGCACCACTTAGATTACCTGACAAAGGCTCCCATTTGGCATTTATTGTGTCTGGGGTAATTATTCAATCTAAATCCAGGTTTGAAGTGAGGTGAAATGTGTGTTATGTAATATGCACGTGGCAGCCCAGCAAGAGATGAATGATCAGTTGATTTATTTTTTTGTAAATCAACGGAACGTTCCTAGTCATCAAAGGATTAACAGAAAATATGTTGATTGGTTAATCACTGTTATCTTGCACAGTGGATATGTCAAGGGTGAGTGTTTACATGTCTAGGTTTACTAAAACAAAGGGAATACACTCATACCATGGCGTGAAGTGCCGATGTAAAAACAACATACTTTGTTCAAAGGGTTAACTTATAATACGTTGATTAATTGATCATTGTTATCTATCACTCAATGGATTTTTTAGGAACCGTGAACATTATGAAAATAGTTGTCACGTGGGCTTTCTCAGCCGACCATTGAGACTTGACACCTATGTAAAACACCTGAAACAATCCAAGTGATCAGTTGAGAAACGAACACGGGTTATAATATCCCGAAACGATATATATCTTTTAAAATATTTGATTGTTACTGAGACACGTGACATCGAATAAGTTTCTTTGTACATCTGCAGACGAGTGAGATATTGTTCCTTTGTGTGGATATTCACGGATTCATTCCTCGAACAAGGACGCTGCCTAAAATTTATACACATAAATTTGGTAGGTTGTAATTATGATATTTGCATTTTGTTTTCCTTCATTTGAATCGATTCGTTCTTGTTTCTCTACGTCTTGGTTGGGAAATTCTTCAATGCGCGATAGACGTTGTTTTCACAGGTCTTTTCCTTTGTAAGCGTGTATATATTACCGTCAATTTGTAAAATGTGATTCTCTCAGGCAATTTATAAAATGTGTAAATATTTCAGTCATTTTGACTAAAAAATCTGTCCAGATTGATTAAGACGATCAAAAGGGCCTACAAACATCACAACAGATTATTATGTAGGATTAGAAGCCAAACAACATAGAAATGTACTTTTCTCAACGTAACATTTTCAGTCTCTTGGTGATAACATTAAACATCAAAATGTTTGGAAATCTGTATTATCATAATAATACAGATTGAAATGTTTTTCAGTCACTTTGTAAAATAACTGAATATTTAGACGTTTAATAAACTTGTTACACATTTGACAGTAAAAAAAAATACACACTATAAAAAAAGCAATGCTCAGGTGAAATATGTACTTTGTGTTGCAAGTCAAAATAGTGTAAACGAAAATCGCAAAATTACCAAGCAAGTGACTTATCAAAACTTCGTCACCATTACCGATGCTACCCACATAGATACCTACATTTCCTTATTATCTCGAAAACTGTATCTTATTTTGTTCATCAATGTGACCATACGCCCTTACTAATGCGCTTACGAATGGCGCAGCAGAGGTCGCGAACTAGTCTAGATTTCTGCTATACATCCGGGTACTCACTGGGAAAAAACAATAACAAAAGCAACAACCAGTCCCGGGGTATTGCGTTAGATCAGTGCCCCTTTAAGGGTAACCTACCCTAACTCTATCACAACTAGAGGAATACAAGATCTGTGAAGCAGAAGACAGAGTCAGCCTAAGTCAATTTGTGCCAGCTTCTTTAACGTGCAATGCAGAATTTTAGGAACACGACAAGACAGCAGTTTACCGGGCGCTAAATTCTAAGCCGAGAGCCGCGATGGGTTCCTACAGTCAAGACATGACCACGTAGGTTCGTGTTTTGACTATTGGACCGCATAGCAGCTCGGCTACGAAATGCTCATTGGTCTGCCTTTGGTACACACCTCTTCGATCCTGTGGGTTACTTCTGTTAGGAGGGTAGGCTACCCGGAAGTATGGCACGTATCAGAGGAAGATCGGAGTTATGTAAAGCGAGAGACAGCCGGCTGCCAGGACACGGTAAACAGCAGTCTCGCCAAAACATTTGTTCAGTAAAAGAAAGTAAGTTAGTTGTAACTGACGCAATTTTCGTCAGTAATCGTACAATGAAGGGGAATAGTTGAACTCACTCTAGAAATCGATAATGCATCAAAGAGATGAAATGGACCCAAGTGTTGTAAGAAACGCTCTCACAAATAAACTCATGCCGCCATACTGCATTGAGATATCATTATTGCTTCACGAAATATAAACTAAAATAATACTTCACATGAACAAAAGTTAAATAATTTGGTACCAAACAATTAAATTAACTATATATTTTTTTCTATATAATATGAAGTTATCATTTTGACAAAATCTGTTTCGAAATATAGACAGATAAGGTATCAATAACTAAGACCTCCCTTTCGGACCCAATTAACCGGCTCCGACCCCAAAAATGTTATTGTATCCTGATTTTATTAAGCTCCGTACAGTGTTCTTCTTCCGAAACTAATAAACACTTCATTGACCAATGCAAACTCCTTCGCAGTGCCGGGACACGTTCTTCGCTATCGAAATATTCAAAGTTAAAAATCAAGGAACCAAAAGCCTATTTACGTCCTCTCCCAGATAATAGGTGGAACTGTTTGCCTCTACAACTACTGCAATTATGTTTCCATTGTTCAACAATGCCGTGAAGTTTGGCCATTTCCCCTAGAGCCCCCTTGTATGTTGTCTTATTACATAGTGTGTAGATCCTATCTCCATGCCCTGTGGCACTCTCGAGAACAAATACATTTCTATTTTCCAGAGACAATATAATATATCTGTTATATATGGTCTCTGTATTTTCTACCTCTGAGTTCTATATCTGTTCCTTCTATTTTCAGACTTGATGTAATGTACAAGTCATTTCTTGCCATCCTGGGCGCCTGGGCCTTCCTATGCCTCATCATTTACTATGGACTGAACAGGATGCTCCTACCCCTTAAGAGCAATCGTCGTGCCATTGACGACCCTTTCTCCATGGTGTCCCATGCACACGACCAGGCACCGAGTGATAAGTACATCATATATACCTGTGATGGGACGTTCTACTGTGGGGGGTGGGCAGACCGACTCAAAGGAGTAGTAGCAGCATATCTCCTAGCTAATGCCACCAACAGCAAGTTTGGAATTCATATGACTGTGCCGTGTGACATCTCCAACTATTTGTTGCCAAACTTGATTGATTGGCGGATTGATGTGTCAGAGTTGGGCAATGACAGTACCGCTTTCTTTATGGGAATGAGCGATGCTGTTTTTATGAAAAATACTGAGGTTATGAAACTAGAAGACACATTTCCTCACAGAGTGACTTTTTTTGCCTTTAATTTAGACATTGTGCCTTATTTGAGAAACAATGTTCTATATTCTGATAATTTAAAATGGATGTTTGGAATGAAAAATCCTGAGATTTTCAGTCATGTTTACAAAACATTATTTCGCCTTTCTTCTGAACTAGAGGAGAAATTGCAAGACTTTAACATGAAGCTTCCTCTTGGATTTTCACTTAAATGTGCTCAAATTCGACTCGGAAGAAATCCATCAAATTTGAACGATACGGAAGTGAGAGGGTTTTATTCGGATGTAAGAATAGTGTGGGATTTCTTCAAAGGTTTTCACAGAGGAAGTGAACATGAGAGCCTAGAACATGATCACAATCATAACCACCATCACCATGACAACAACCACCATCATCATCACCAAGACAACCATCATCATCATCACCACCATCATTCTAATAATGAAAACTTGAGGATCTTTGTGACATCTGATTCGGAACAAGTTCGCGCTGATGCAGCAAAAATGTTTCCAGATCTAATTGTCGACTTGCCAGGTCCGCTTGTTCATATTGAAAGATCAACCAAGGTCAAGGAAGAAATTTGTGGAGGATTTTCGAAAGTTATACTGGATCAAATTGTCTTAGCTTCATGTGAAACTCTCATTGTGAGCCAGAGTGGTTATGGAGAGATTTCCTCATACCTGAGAGGATCGGAAGCCAATCTGTACTGCTTTCGTCATTCAGAACTATACAGATGTTCCATGTCCAACTTCGATGTGGCTATCGATAGGTTTCCAAAACTAGTTACAGTAATGGTGTTTGGAGTTTTACTTTTAATTGTTTTGGTATGCTGGATATTTCCTGTTAAAGCAAGACAGATCAGAAAATGTCTCCGGATGAAGTTGCTTCGCTGCTGAGGTGATACTTTTAATAAAATAATTGGCCACAGGCCCTAGCAAATTTTAAATGGTACAAATTAATCTCAAAGTACACTCAGTTTTAGAATAAAGGAGTGAGTTGTTTTTTCTCTGAAAGCCCCTGAAATTATGTTAGAAATCTACTCTAAAGTTTTCAGTGTTTGGTGAGCATTTTCATTTATTCCCTTGTTTTGTCAGAAGTAGAGTACCACTAAACTGCAGTTTGGAGTAGGGTGAATGCTAAAGCTTTGAGTGATTGAGTATTTCCTTATGCCGCTTTTAGCAATATTCCAGCAATATCATGGCAGGGGACACCAGAAATGGGCTTCACACATTGTACCCATGTCGGTAATCGAATCCGGGTCTTTGGCGTGACGAGTGAATGCTTTAACCACTAGGCTACCCGACCGCTCTAAAGCTATGGGAATGTATATTTTTCCCAAACTGAAAGAACTCATAATTTCTTATTAATCAAGAAAGCAAAGTGGTCTCTTTCTCCTGGTAACATCCTCTGTATCTCCAGGGCTCACATTTTGGTAAACCTACACGAGCCCATGGAACCATTCCTAAGGTTTTCACAATCTTAAAATTACCTGACTTACAGGATCGGGTGGTCAGATTCGCTGACTTGGTTGATGCATGTCATCATATCCAAATTGTATAGATCGATGCTTATTATGTCTATCACTGAATTATCTGAAGATCCGGGGTAGATCAGGTCTTCAGCAACCAATGCTTGCCGTAAAAGGCGGCTATACTTGTTGAAAGAGGATCAGGTGGTCTGGCTCACTGACTTGGTTGATGCATGTCATCGTATCCCAATTGCTGAGTGCAGTGTAAACAACAAACAAACAAACTGGATTATCTGGTCCAAACATGATTATTTACAGCCTGCCGTCATATAGCTGGAATATTGCTGAGAGCAGCGTTGAACAAACAAACAAACAAACAAAAGCGATACTCTGGAGAAAGTCCCTGCTGGGAGATTATTCTGTGAAAGGAAGGCCAGCAACAACGCAAACATGACATCACTAGAGGTTTATTTGGGGCTGTCACTTGACGTGTTATCTTTGTGTATAAGGCTGTATTTAGGACACTTATCATTCGTCCATGTCAGAATGTTGAGATTGGTTCACCTGATCTTGATAAAATACTGTGTATCCTATGTGGGAGGGAAATAAATTTCTGAGCACGAGAATAAATTCTTAATACCCCGCCACAAAGAAAACAGTCTGCACGTGGATTTCTGAGCGGGAGAATAATTCCCTTATACCCGTTTGAGACAAAAAGCTGCATGCTTTTTCCAAGTCAATGAAAGTCATGTGACACTGCACAAGTTAACCTCAGCTTAATGGAACAGCTGTTTTCTATCAATTTTCAATTTGTTTTAGTTCTTTTACAATGTCAGGTTTAACATGTCGGTAAGATAAATTTGTTGTAGCAATATCACAAGGGGTACATGTGGTTTTATACATCCCTCGTTGGGTTTTATACCAGGTCAGGGTATACTTTTTAAAAGTGATTTGTACTTATAAGTAATTGATACTGTTTTTATCATATTTCAAATTGCATGTTTTTATACAATATTTGTATATACAGTCTATTTATTTGTCCAACATTCCACATTGATGTATGTGATGTGTAAAGTTTTATTATACACACTAGGGTACAACATAGAGATATTATGTGAAGATACGTGTAAATGTTGTATTTTCACTGCGATAGCATGAATGTCTCAGTTCACTGTCTCAACAATTTACATAATAATTTCACTGTCTTGAAAGAAATGAATGATATTTTCACTGAACCTTTTACTGCTACGTTGAGTAAAGTGAAATTGTGAATATGATAAACATGGATCTCTGGCGGTCTGTATGAATATTGTGTTCCATATATATTCACATTCCACAAAGTAGGCATATTTTCATGCTTACATGCTTTGGACCAGAAATTAAGGAGAATTTTTCATACCTCTTTGACCATCAATATTTATGTGTATGTTGAAACTGTTTTTTTATTCAAGGGAGAAAACACTGTATGTAATGTTTGTAAAGTATGACCGGAGTTGTCTCCCTTGGTAAACAAGCTTGCAGATGGCAAACAAGAATGTGGAAATGCAGCTTTGGAAAAAAGAAAGAGTGTAGATATATTTTTTGACAGGTTTTCACTTGTCTGCATAAAATTATAACTTGTACTAGTCTGAAAGTCATACATACTTGGTTGGGCGAGTCAGGGCTCAGTGATGTCATAATTCCTACGAATGCCATACCTCTATTACACACTTTCCAGAAATCCTGTATTTAGGCTGTCATTACTACCTTAAGAAATCTTCAGCTTTTCAACAGAAGTCCTCTTCACGGTCAACTATTCATAACTAGTTGTGCAAGTAATAGTATGTTGCTTCCCATGTCTCCTGTGTGTGCGCAGGGCAGGAAAACCTTTCTGTCCTGTGTGCATAGCTAGAGATTCCACAGTGATGTCATTTCTGTCTCAAGGCTGTTTTAGTGCTATTTTTTATAACTTTTGTAATTATTTCCATTGAGTACACTGTATTTCATACCAGATTACTTGCCTGCAGCAGGGATGTATCAGGGTCTATATATTTTCACTTCAACTCTCAGTAATGGAGTCCAAGGCTGGCCACAAGATGCACTCAACCTTGAAATTCACTTCTTTTTTTAGACTGATTTGGAGAACTAGTGGAAACTGTTCACTAGTCCTCAGAGTTTGTATCTAGTTCTACGTGAAGAAGACCAAACTGTTTACTATGTTTACTGTTACTGTCACTTTTTTTCAGTTCTAATTTGTAGCCAAAGTGAAGCATTGAAATAGTTCAGAAATAGAGCCCTCTAATGTTGCCCTGCTAGCCAAAGAGGACTACCATCTTTGAAGTTTTATTTGTCCCAAGCACAAATTAGTAGTCTCAGGCTAGCGGACTAGCATGAATTTCGAAGGCAGTGTCATATCATTGAACATACTTAGAAGTCTCGAGCCTACTATAGATTGGATTTCAGGGTTAGACTGCGGAAAATCATCTATTCACTCTCTTAACTGAGGATTTCTCACCAGAACAGAATGTCAGTTATATGTAAAAGCAGTCTTCAATTTTGAAAGATTTAAAATTCACCAGCCATATCTTTTTGCATCCTCAAAGACTTGCAATCTAAATTATTTGCCTCCATTCTCAATACTCAGTGTCTGTAAACCCTTGCTGTAATTCTGATCTCATTGACCAAATGTTGATGTAACAGAGAAGACTTGTTATTGAAATGTGTTGATGTAACTTTGATACTCATCCTCATCATCCAGTGCATTGTGTCTCCATTCTATTATAATAAATACCCTGGACTCATTAGCTACCACAGCTTCATTTGTTCCTGTTTCAAACAGCACAACAATAGAAACAGCCATCCAATCTCGTCTGTCTCACAGTCTCATTCGTCACACAAGCCTCGTCTTCTTGCAGGTTACAGAAAGAGACGAGTGGTGACGAATGTTGCAGTCCCATATTATTTTCCCTTCCGACCAGTCCTGTGATGCTATAGCCCTAAATAAAGCAAGTTTTATTTACTGTAAATGTGGTAAGACTAAGCGTTAGTCTTCCATCCAAACAAAAACACTTCTGTGGCCAGTTAGTTGGTTGGTTGGTTGGTTGGTTGGTTGGTTTGTTGTTTAACGCTGCACTCAGCAATTTTCCAGCTATATGACGGTGGTCTGTAAATAATCAAGTCTGGACCAGACAATCCAGTGATTAATATCATGAGCATCGATCCACGCAATTAAGATCGATGACATTCATCAACGAAGTCAGCGAGTCTGACCACCTATACTGTTAGTCGCCTCTTACAACAAGCATAGTCACCTTTAATACAAGCATGGGTTGCTGAAGACCTATTCTACCCCGGACCTTCAGGGGTCAGCCAGTTAGTGACAGGAGAGATGGGAATAGTGACTTCCCTTCAGAACCAAGCTTTGGTGGTGGATGGATCCAGTTCACATTCAATGGAAAATCGAGGAGGATAAACTTGTTCAAGGCAGTTTTACCTGTTAAATCTTCTAAGAGTGAGAAGAAGGATCATGAGACAGTATGTGTGTGTTTCTCACAGCCATGTCCTCCTGGTGACTTAGCGATGAGTGATGGTTGGTTATGTGTAAAACGTGCACATGAGTCAAGGTCATTAAACATGACTTGTGAATAATTCTTCAGGCAACTCAATAAACGGCCAGTGGAAACTATAGTTTCAGTATTAGATGTTTGTTGTTTTGTTCTATGTTACACCATGCTAGCTGTTTCATTGTGATATGTGTATAACATAATTGCATATTATCAAGGTTGGAATATTTGGGTTCTTACAGCATTGACATAAAACAAGTACATTGCTGTATTCATATTGATAATAGGGTCTTGCATGACAGTAGTGTATTAAACTTAGATTAAGATTTAGATTCTATGTTACTTTGCCTGAGATCGCTATAAGCTGGACAAATTAATATCAGTTAAGAGTGATATTCATTTTCGATATGGTTTAAGTTAGGAGGAATATTATATTGTCGTCCAAAGCCAGAAACGAGTCAATGTGGTTCTGAATTTATTTACAGTAATACTACCCAAATAGTTCTCACATAAAATGGATGTACATTATGAGCCATCTGGGGCTTTCAGATAAATCACTGCCAAACCTGAAATTATTTTGTCTTTTAACCGTTGACGTAACATATTTAAAAATACGGTTTTATTACCAAATGTTTGAAAGAACCAGCCATCAACAAATCCTAATCTAAAAATAACAGTTTTAAGTTTCGTTACCCAATTTACTTGGCCTTGTTTATCGTACAAGCGCAAAAAATTGTAACATTTTTGGGGTAAACGAGATTCCTGCATATTGAAAAGAGACAGCCAATATTTGACACATTTCAAAACAGCAAGTGACTGAGAAGAATATCTACCACACTCGCCTAACGCCCGATTATTTGAAGTTGATAACATTACATTTAAAGACGCTTACAGGCATACAATTACACTTTTTCTACTGGTTCTATGTCACTGAACCCCCACATTACAACCCCGTATAAAAGTATTGGTGTTATCTTTGCATCAAATAATTTGAAGTAAAAGTGAGGCAACTTTGGTTTCAAGAATTGGTTGGTTTGTTGTTTTACGCCGAACTCAGCAAAATTCCAGCTATATGACGGCAGTCTGTAAATAATCGAGTCTGGACCAGACAATCCAGTGATTGACATCATGAGCGTCGATCCACGCAATTTGGATCGATGGCATGCTTCTACCAAGTCAGCGAGCCTGACCACCCGATCCCGTTAGTGGCCTCTTACGATAAGCATAGTTGCCTGGTTTCAAGGAATGTATACTACTTAAAAGGACCATGAACAACTTTCTTGCCTGAATTGCAGTATTATTTAAAGCTTTAGACCACAGCAATCTATTGCTAAAATACAAGCCAAGATAACTGTATCCAATAACTACATCAATCGCATTTCCATCATAATACCATTTTTCATAACGTAACAAACCTCCCCCATTTTTAAACCAACTATTTTTGTTTTCGATAGATTCACTGACATTTCCCATTTACAACAGTAATCATGCAAGATATTTGACTTGTAAGTTGTAAATTTGTAAGTTAAGTTGTTGATAGTACTGCCAAAAACCCAATATGGTCATCCGCAAATAGAAGTAGAAAATTATGAATAAAT